ACCTTGAGACCATGTTAAGTGAAACAAACCAGACATACATATCACACAGTTTATCTTATATGAGAAACCCAAAGCCAAGACAAATGGAGGAAACAGTGAGACACATCTCTTGCAAATGGGAAGGGACCAATCTGGAAGGATAGAGGGAAGGGAAACGAGACATAAAAAGAATTAAGATGTTATATACATGTACAAATTTCCCAGGATGAATGTAATTACTATGTATTATAAATGTGTACTAAAAAAATAAAAATTTGAAAGAAAAAAATTTCAAATTAAGAACCTAATTTTATACCTTAAGGAATTAGAAAAAGAACAAACTAAACACAAAGCAAATACCAGGAAAAAAATGGTGAAGATCAGAGCAGAGATAAATAGACTAGAAAAAAGAAAAACACAAGGAAAACCAAGAGTTGGTTCTTCAAAAATATCAGCAAAATTGACAAACCTTTAGGTTAAGCAAGAGAGGGAAATAAAAATTAGAATAAAAAGGAGCCAGGCACTCCTATAATCCCAGGGCTCGAGAGGCTGAGGCAGAATTGCCATGAGTTCAAGGCCAGCCTGGGCTACATAGTGACTTCAAAACCAGCCTGAATGACACAGTGAGACCCTGTCTTAAAAAACCAAAATTAAAAAAAAAAAAGAAAAAAGAAAAAGGAGACATTATGATCAATTGTACAGAAATAAAAGAGTATAGAGTACTGTGACCATCTATATATCATCAAATTGGGTAACAGATAAAATGAACAAAGTCCTATGCACAACCTACCAACTCTGAGTCATTTAGAAGTGTAAATCTGAGTAGATCTGTAACTAGTACGGAGATGGGATCAGTTACCAAAAACCTCCCAACAAAGAAAAGTTCAGGACCAGATGGCTTTACTGGTGAAGTCTACCAAACATTTAAAGAAGGAACACCAGTCCTCCTCAAATTATTCCAAGAGATTTGAGAGAGTACTTCCAAACTAAGGGCAGGATTATTGTGATACCAAAACCAGACATACCCTACAAGAAAACTACAGACCAATATTCTTGATGAATATTTTTCCAAAACTTCTCAACAAAATACTAGCAAACAAAATTCAGCAGTACATTAAAAGGATTATATACCATGGCCAAGAAGGGTTTACTTCCAGAATGCAAAGATGATTCAACATAACAAAAATCAGTGTAATATACCACATTAACAGAAGGAAGGAAAAAATCTATGATCATCTGGGTGCAGAAAAAAAACATTTGACAAGCCCAAATTTCTTATAAAAACACTTCAATAAATTAGGAACAGGAGAAAAGTCAGCATAATAAAGGGCATCTATGAAAATCCCACAGTGATAAAAGACTGAAAACTGGTTCTCTAACATCGGAAATAAAACAAGGGTGCCCACTTTCACCATCATATATTCAACATAGTATTGGAAATCTCAGCCAAATCAACTAGGCAAGAAAAATAAATAAAAGATATCCAAATAGAAAAGTAAAATTATGTACAGATGACATATTAAATGAAGAAATGCCCAAAGATTCCACAAAACAAACAAAACACCCTCCAAAACAACAAAACCAACTGTTAGAACTAATAAATTCAGCACAGCTGTAGGATGAGAAATCAACACAAAAATCAGTTGCATTTGTATATGCAAACAATGAACAATTCTAAAGGAAATTAAGAAAATAACTTACAATAGCATAAAAAAATAATTTGGAGTAAACTTAACCAAGGATGCAGAAGACTTGTATACTGAAAATGGTGCTGAAATTAAAAATAATTTAAAATAAATGGAAAATCCCAGATGAGCCCCCACCCCAAAATAAAATAAACGGAAAGATACTGTGCTTATGTACTAGAAGACTTAATATTATAAGGATGTTGCTACTACCTGAAATGATCTACAGATTCAATGGAATCCTTATCAAAATCCCAACAACGTTTACTGCAGAAACAGAAAAATTTATCCTAATGTTCATATGAAACCGTGAGGAACCTCAAGCAGCCAAACAAATCTTAAGAAAAAAAGGTAGGGCTGGGGGTTTAGCTCAGTGGTTCCGGTGCCTGCCTCACAAGCGCAAGGTCCCGAGTCTGATCCCTGGTACCAAAAAAAAAAAGGTAAGAGGACTCACATTTCCTGAATGCAAAGCTACAGTAAGCAAAACAGGGTTATCTTGGGGAGAAAGACAGAGCAACTGAACAGAAAAAACTACAAAAATAAATCCTCATATGTGATGAAATGATTCTAGGAATGGTATCAAGAGTACTCACTGGGAAAAGGATACTCTTTTTTAACAAATGGTGTTGGGAAAATTGTATATCCACATTCAAAGAATGAAACTGGAGTCTTATCTCAAAATGGATCAAATACCTAAATATAAGAGCTAAAGCTACAAATTCTAGAAAACATAGGGCAAAAGCTTTATAACCCTCAATTTGGCAATGATTTTCAGATGACATCAAAAAAGCACAAGCAATAAATGAAACAGATAAACTATATGAAAATTATAATTATTCATGTATCAAAGGACACACTCAACAAACTGAAAGGCAACCTAGGATAGAAAAAATGATTCGCAAATAATATATCTAAAACATTAATACCAGAATATAGAAAGAAGTTGCTACCTAGAATAGTCAAAATCACAGCGATGGAAAGTATGGTTGTCGACAACTGGAAGAGAAAACAGGGACTTGTTTAAGGTAAGCTATGTTTTGCAAGACGAAAAGATTTCTGGAGATGGATAGTACTGATAGCTGCATAACAATGTGGATGCACTCAAATACCACTAACTACATCTAAAAATGGTTGAAATGGTAAACTTTATGTAACTTTTTACACAATTAAAAATATTTTACCAAAAAAAAATAGAAAAATAAAAGTGATTTGCCCAGCAAGGCGGTACACCCTATAATCCTAGTACTCAGGAGGCTGAGGCAGGATTGCATCAAGCTTGAGGCCAGCCTAAACTACATAGCGATAACCTGTCTCAACTTCCTCCCCTCAAAAAGTGACTGTATTATTCTATCCAAGTGATTAAAGTTAGTAACACTAATTCTTGGACAAACTAAAATCCATGTTCTTGAGAGAAATGGATTTGCAAACCAACAATATGCTTATGTAAGATGACATAAATGTGGCAAAATGGTAAATACCAGAACTTGAATACGGGAGTTAATCTTACCATTCTCAAAGTACTATAAATTGGAAATATCTCCAAATTATTTTTTAGAAAAATTATTCTGGTAGGCCAAGCTTCATACTTCCCCAAATAAATCATGTACAGTACTCAGGATGATGTAGGCAGGAACTAGCAATTTCCCCTTCCAAAACCAGTAGAAGAGAATGAATTTCCCAAGTATGATCATCACTTTATTACCTGATGCCATCACTTGCCCTGATGTCATTAAGTGGTATTTTCAGATAACTGGAACTTGCCCTACTAAAGGCCAAAATGTTGGTATCTTTAAAATATTCCTGAAAAACTTGTCTTTTTTGTTTATAATGGTAAGCATCTGTAAGGTTTCACTAGATGTGCATTTTTTTGCGCTCAAGTATTTTTGATGGTAAATAAAACTGCCAAAAGTAGTTTAGATTTTTGTCTCCACCTAGTGGTCAGCATTACCGTTGACTGCCTTTGCATACTTGCTTTGTACGTCCCATTTGTGAATCTGAGTTTGTTGAAAGTTAAGTGTAAAAACATTGAGAGGTCCTTTCAGTAAAAGTTTTTGTGCATTAGCTTTCTGAAAGGTCTTCATGGCCAGTAATATTCTCATGTGTTCCCAATTTGTATCAGAGTAGGATTTCTATAATTTAAATGGTTACTGATTAAGTTTTCTTGGGCTTACTCATCTTGACCCATCAGAGTTCTCATAAATCTTGCAGACTAACAATTTAAAATATCACAAAAATAAAGCAGTAAGAAACACAACTTTAAACTGTAATTTCTCCCTCTTCTGTAACTGCCCAACTTTCATAAGCAATTGGTGTATTTTCAATTATATCCATGTTTCTAGGGTTTTTTTCAAGACAGGGTCTTGTTATGTAATGTAAGCTGGTCTTGAACTCACTATGCAGCCCAGCCTGGACTCAAATTTGTGTGAACCTCCTGCTTTAGCCTGAGTGCTGGAATTACAGGTGTGCACTGCCACACCCAGCCACATCCATACTTCTAAGACATTCTCTCTTTTTTGGAAGGCGGCATCTATGTAGTCCAAGCTGGCCTCAAATTCCCAATCCTCCTGCCTCAGCCTCCTGAGTGCTGGAATTACTGGTGTGTACCACCATATCCCTCTAAGGCAGTATTTAACCTATTCCTGGAGAGAAATTAAAATGTATTAAAATAAACTATTTCCTAACAAGAGAAACACATAGATTTTGTTGGTATTGTATTTCAACTCCAACTGGGATACTGCAATTCAGCTGATACTAAATGCCCGGGGTTAGTACTGGGCTGCACAAATTTAAGGCATAGCCCTCCCTTCATAAGACTCCCTCCAGTTCAGATGTTAGCTCCAAGTGAGGTCTCCATGCCATCAATAGTTCTGACTGATTACAAATCTGGGGTACCCATGAGTCTCTTCATTCAAGAATTTGCTAAAATCAGTCACAGAATTCAGACCATCTATATAATGGCCTGGAACGTCTGTATACAGAAAGTCTGTAATCAAAGCTCTTAATTGAGGTTGCACTACAAAGGCAAAAACAAAAACAAAAGCCCCATGAATGGACCTCTACAATCTGACTTGGTTAAAGATCTTTATGGTGACCATTCTTCAATCTAAAGCTACCTAGGGACCAGCCCTGAGTTGCTCTTATCAGCATAACAAAGACACACATCATTTAGGAAAACCAAGGGACCCAAGGGTTTATCACCTTTCTTGTCAGAAACCAGGGACAAAAACCAAACAAATTCCTTATTATGCCAGTCAGTATGAGATATTTTTTACTCACCAAAAACCAATCTCTGGCTCCAGCAAGAATGCATTCTGTAAGACAATGAATAGACGGCCCTCCAAACCAGAATGAAATTTTATTGTGTAAAGCTTATAGAGGGACAACTACTATTTTTCTGTACAAAGTACACAACAGTTTTAAATACAACTAAGAGAAATGTGAGTCCTATGACAACATGTGATACAAGCTGAACCATTTACAGACATACTAAAAAAAAATTTTAAAATATCTTCTTTCTCCAAAGAGTCCATTGTGCATCTCTTAGAGCAGAGATAGGGACATATCCCAGGCAAGGTCACAACGGCATTTTATTGCCCTCGATGCTGATTTTCACTGCGTGTGCAGATCTGCTTTTTTTCCTGATATCTGTGAATTTTCTCATCTGCTTATCCAGTCGACTGATACCTTTCTTGGAAGTTGCCTGAAACTAAGAGTGGGGGAGAAATTAAAGAGCAAATTATTAAAATATGTAAATCCAGTTTTGTCTTTCATCTTTTATTGAAGGTTAGCAGTCAGAGAGTTCTTAGCTCTAGAATAATCAGAATATGCTTTCGTGACTTGAAGAACAGAACAAGTACACACAGCAGTGTTAGAAACACATTAAATTTCCAAAGACAAGTTTGGTTGTTCCCTATGCCTTATTTCCAGTCCATGGGAATCTAGAGGAGAGAAGGGGAAATATTTTGACTACAAATCCTCCCAGATCCATCATTTGCATTACATCTAACTTTCTCCCTGTCAAAGAGTAATGTGGGGGGGATGGCCACCTGACATTTTCAAACAGTGCAGCATAAAAAAACCCTAATTCTAAATATTATATCAATCTCAACACGTGGTACTAAGTATTATGAGTTGGCATAAAAATTCATTGTCACATGAGAAAGAGCTATGCCACCATCACACTATTCCTCAGATTTCCTGGGCTGTCCTGAATATCTGACCTCTTTTTGGTTAACGTGCTCTAATTTTAGTACTTAGAATCAGTCCACTCAGAAAGCTCAGCTGCTCAGATCTCTGACAACCACCCAGCACCAAGCAGCTCCACACACTAGGCTGGCCTTCTCTTTCCCACTCCTGGATCCTCCCTCCAAACTCTGAGACCTGACAGATCTGTTCAGGCCCAGCATCAGGGACACACTTAGGAGGGGTCAATCTACTCCTGCTGATGCTTAGTTGTTCCATGCCTGAAAACACACAGATCCCCACAGTACCTAACATAGTTCTAATCTCCCCTCCTAATTCATCAATTCTATATCACACTTCTTCAGGACACCAAAAGTATGTGATATATACAGTTTTATCAGTGAAAAAAAAAAGGAACTTAAAGGACTAGCAAGGAGAGTTTGCTTTAAAAAATTATGGTATGATTGTATGACAACAGAGTATTAAATCACATTCAGTCAAATGGAATTCTACTATGTTGAGTAAAAATCCAATAAGGCATATGAATATGATCACATTACTCCTCAGAAAAAAAACAAAAGAACAAAAAAACAGTAATAATATTTTTGCATGCATATAAAAAGGAGCAGAAAGGAATAATCCAAAATGCTAATATTAAGTTGTGGCAAGATTTCAGGTAGCATTAATTTTGTGCTTTTTGTATTTTTAAGAAGTTTATACAAAAGCATGGATTGCTTCTGCCATTTATTGTTAATTTTAAAAAGCACTCCACAAACTTGACAAACATACAAGAGACAGTGTAGTACATGTTACTGCCTTACTTAATAAACAGTGAAAAATCAGAAACCAGAGGAAAGACTAAATTATTACATATTCATGCAAAGGTCACATAGAGTATTATGTAGCCATTAAAAATACTCTACGGGTGGCTTAACAGGTGAAATGACCAGCTGGGCATGGTGGAGCATACCTGTACTCCCAGCACTCAGGAGGCTGAGGCAGAGGGATCGCTGTGTGCTTGAGACTAGCCTAGGCTACAAAGTGAGTTCAAGGCCAGCCTGAATTAGAGTGAGACCCAGTCTCAAAAAATAAAAATGAAACGAAAAAAACCCAAAAAACAAAAAAGTGAAATGACCAAAATTATAGTAGTACAATTTCAATTATATGAAGTATCAAAAGAAAAAAGGGCAGCAAATCTATCAAACTGGTTTGAATGTTGAGACCATAGATGATTTCTTTTTTTAACCATCTCAAATTTTTCCACAAGTATAAAAGTTAAGTTTCAGGTATAACTGGAAATACATTTAAAACATTAAATTGTTAACAGTGGTGACTTAGTGGAAGAGCAGAGCTTTGGGAATGGAGGTTAATTCACAGTTTCACAATTAAAACTAAAAATGTTTAAAACAAAAGGTTTCATTTGAAAGCTATTTATCACTCCAGTTTTCTTCATGGACAATATGATTTCTAGTAATACTCATTAGTGTCTATACAATGTAAGCATTAAGAGAATATGCAAGAAACCTTCCTGAAGAGGGAAATAGTGTCAGGTAGTTTAAGGACAGTAAGAAAGAAGGTAATATCAGATCATCAGCCCCTAAAACATTAGCTCTTTTCCTTCTTTCTGAGACAGGGCCTTACTGTGTAATGCAGGCTGGCCTTGAACTCACTATGTAGCCCAGGCTGGCCTTAAACTCACAGCAATCCCCCTGCCTCAGCCTCTCAAATGCTGGGATTACAGGCGTGCAGCACCACACCTGATTTCTTACTTTGGCAGGGATTGAATCCAGGGCCTTGAGCACGCTAGGCAAGCACTCTACCACTGAGCCATACCCCTAGATCAAAATATGACTGGATAGAGCTCCAAGGCCAAACTACAGCCCCAATAAAAACCAGCACATTATGACTGTGGTGTGCTGAGAGCTTCTAACTGGAGGTCAGGCCACTCTTCTGCACCTACCCCAGGGTGGTGAGACCAGGACCAGCAGCAGCGGCAGATAGGCATACAGCCCCGGGGAACAGGACTGCTTCCAAAGACTGGCCATTGAGCTCCTATTATGCTTTCTTGGTCATACTATACTGTATTTCCCTGAAAATAAGTCCTAACCAGAAAATAAACCCTAGCATGAATTTTCCTCAAAAATAAGCCCCAGTTAAGACTGTCAGCCAGATTGATGCATTTCATATGCGCACTGCAACACATGATGATGTACTGAATTATAAAATAATATGGATTTCATATGACTAACATTAAATTTTAAAATAAATATAAATCATAATTAAGATGAACTCGAGACTCACCGCCAAGTGACCAATCCGACCAATGCATGAATGACGTGTGCACTTGGTAACAAACGGATGTGCCTGTGTGTAATGTGAATCTTCATAATTCAGTATGTCATGTGTTATAATAATCCACTACGAGTAGGCTACATGGACAAGAAGTACTCATTTAAGGAGAGCTCTACTGCTGGATGTGAAAGGTTGGGGCCAATGGTTCTAGGGGAAATGGAGTTGCAAAAAGTTCTGGCTAGAACTCAGGGTTTGCAGAGTTATGATGATGCTCCAGAAGATGACACGACTATAGATTTTTATACACGAATAAATGAATAAATGTAATTGTTGTACATGAAAAAATAAGATATCCCCTGAAAATAAGTCCTACTGCATCTTTTAGAGCAAAAATTAATATAAGACCTAGTCTTATTTTGGGGGAAACACAGAAGTTTCCAATTCTAAGAAAAGTATTGGGCAAGAAAATAATACAAATGGAGTTTAGAAAGAGGTTAAGAGATAGCAAGAAAAAAGGAGAAGTTAAAAAAAGAAATGGAGAGAGGATACCAAAGGACATATAGATGGTATCAGTTTTTTAAAAAAAGAAGTACTACAGAGGAAGAAGTCCTTGGCACAGAAGTAATCCTCCTCTATCCTTATTTATTCTCAGTAAGTAAGAAAGCAGGCTCTGTCTTGACAGTTGCTTGACAGCGTAGTTAACTGGAAGGAAGGTAAGTGGAGCCTGTGCAAATAATTGCCAAAGCAGAGGTCAGAGAAGCACAAAAGGCAGGCAACATGCATAAACTCTGTACACTGCAGCAAAGGTGCTGCCATGAATCTCAGAGCACACAGGGTCAAGGGGTACGGCTTATGAATCTTCTCAAGTCACTTCTGACCATGTACTGAATGAGCTTTGTATCATGAGTTCTCAATTGCATGTTACTGAGCCACTGACAACTGGAAACTCTCCCTTCTACCAAGAAGCCACCAGCCAGTTTATATGCCTGTATGCAGACTACTATGATGCTTGGCCCTGACAGAAGTCTTTTTTATAAAAAAACAGGTACTGGACAGGAAGAACAAAATGCCTACCAGGGAAGTAATGGCCTATTAGTCTCTAGGGTACTGCCAAAGGAAGGAACTTCCATGATAACTTCTAAATATCAGAGAGGCCACGCCTGTCTCAAGGGGCCTGTCAGGGTCACTACTTCAGAAACTAACACAGAGAGGCCTTTCTGGTTAAGAAAGCACATGCGCACCTGCCTTCACTCTGCTGACAATGCAAGCCCATGCACCCATGCTTCCTTGAGGATACCTCTCAGATACACTCTGGGAGGGCCAGGCCTACAAGGGCATCCTGTTGCCTTCAATACTGAACTTGACAGCACGGTGCACTTTGCTGAGCCGTTTCTGTTCTGCAAATCGCCGTTTATGCTTTTCCAATCGGCTTAAGCCTTTTTTAAGAATACCAGGCTAGAAAGAGTGGTTTAATTAGAGAATAAGAAAGATTACCAAGAAGCGGTGTTTGAGAAATGTCTACAATGATGACAGAGGAAGTGTCTAACCTAACAATTTCACAACAGAATTGCTTAAACAGCTGGAAGAGAAAGGGAGGGGGGACTCTGTGGAAGCATGAAAACTGGTACTTACGTTGTTCTTAACAACAAACATCACTGCACCAGAACACTCTAGGCTTCAAAATTCCCTTGAAATAGGGGCTAGGGATTTAGCTCAGTGGCACCGTGCCTATCTTGCAAGGGCAAGGTCCTGAGTTTGATCCCCAGTACTAGAAAAAAAAAATTCCTTTGAAATAAAGGGATTAATAGGGAGAAACTTCTGGTCACATGATACTGGTTTAAGTGAAGAAAAGCTTATCAGCAATGAACTTTAATCTTGGGTAATACTTTTCCCTATCTTGATTGTTTGACCTGTGATTTGGCTACATAAAAGGTCAATAAACAGATGTTTATAAATGAGATAAACCTTAAGAGATGTAAGGATTCTTAAACACAAAGAAAAAATATTAAATGGTAATATGCATCTGAAGTCCACCCTGCTCCTCCTCTGCTTGCTTACCCGAGATGACTCCATTTCCACATTCCACTTGGGCCTGACAACATAGTCCTTATTTGAAGGCATTGGGACCCTTGCTCGGGCACAGAATCCAGGATCTCCAGGCCTAAGAGCTCTGAGAAAAAGGAAAAGGAAAAGCATGCTGATTGCAGTGCAGTCAGCCACTGTGGAGCCCAGAAGCCAACCTCCTGCTCCCAGTCCTACACTATCCAGCTGCAATGCTTCAAAACTGTCCTCTGCCCTCCCAAAGTCACTGCCTTATGCTCCTGCCCTCTAAGTTAAGTGTGTTATCAGATACACTGCTGTCCTGTGTGAATCTCCCAAAGCCAAGTTCCTCTGCATTCACAGGAATCTTCTTTGCTCTCTGTAGGATGGATATCATCATATCCTCTCCTTCCAAGACTGGTCCTCCAGCAGGACTCTGAATCCTAAGTTCACAGGTCTCGTGGAGTTACTCAGGAGTTCACTTGTGAGGTGAAAAATCATGTAGTCAAAATGAGCCCCAAGACCCTATGATGAATGTTATGATTACACATATCTAAAATGTACTAAGAAATGTTTTGCTTTAAGAAAAAGAGCCAAGAGGGCTGGGGAGGCCCAGTGGTTCCACCGCCTGCCTTGCAAGTGCAAGGTCCCAAGTTTAATCCCCAGTACCAAAAAAAAAAAAAAGCCCCTGTGTAGATGGCTGGGCACTCCACTTTTGGGTAACTTCCTCTAGTGGTGAATGGAAAGTGGTGTATCTTGTGAGTGAGGAGACAAGGATAGACTCTCTAAATTGTTTCTATTCCCTTGTATGGTTTGCCCTCCATTCTCCACTCTTTATAGTTTTTTTGTGTAGTACTAGGGATTGAACCTAAGGCATCACACATGTTAAATAAGCAAGCACTCTACCACTTGCCTTTTACACTGTATTTTGAAACAAGGTTTCATTAAGTTGCCCAAGGTGGTCTTCAATTTGCGATCCTCCTGCCTAACCTCGAGTTGCTGAGATCTCAGGCATGTGTCACTGTATCCAGCTCTAGTTTGCCCCATGTTTTAACATTAAGCTTTCTATAATTTTCCATATATCTGACTAGCCAGCGAAAATTCTCAACTCTTCTTTGCTCCTTGAAACCACTGTCTCAACACCAAAACTTATCTATAAACATGTTTGCACTTTGCTTTTTCTAGCTCATCTCCCACCCTCCTCTTGCAATGTGGATGCTGACTGCCAATACTCCCAGCACTCTTCTGTACCTGGATTCTGTGCCCTGCTTTACCACTGCCCACCTCACATGCACCCTCAATCCTCTTCTGGCATTGCTCTAACATGCGTGAGCACATTCTCTCTCTCCACTAGTCACTTTGCTTTCCAAAGTTGATTCATTTCTTTTCTTTTCTGCAATACTAGGGATTGAACCCAGGGCTTTGCACATGCCAGGCAAGTGCTCTACTACTGAGCTACCTCTTCAGCCCAGCTTAATTTCTTTCTTTCTCTACACTCTTTCCTTTTTTTTGCGGTACCAGGAATTGAACTCAGAACTTTTGCTTGTGAGGCAATTGTGGTGCTACTGAGCTAAATCCCCGGCCCTCTCTACCCTCTCTTAATTCAACAATTTTTCTGATGATAACAATCAAATACATGTCTCTAGCCCAAATCCCAATTTCTAGACCTATGATATAGAAGTTCTTCATTAGGCACCTCATATTTAATAGCTTGAAATGATACTCACCAATGACCACAAATTTGTCCCTTCTTTAATTTTAATGAATGGTAATTATCACTGTCTCAGTATGTGGCTTAAAATTTTGGTTGGAGCCTTCAATTCTAGCCAAATTCTCCCCTACTAGGTTACCAGCTCTGGTAGTGTTGCTGCTGCCATGTCCTCCCAACCTTCTGCTCCTACATGTCTCTGTTGACTTGGTTTAACAGTGTGACTATTTTCTAATAACAGCAAGAAAAATGTAGCTATCAACACGCTTTCACAATAATGGAAAATAAGTTTCAGAATTTTCAGTCAGATGCTATGGGCCAGTTACTGGTTTAATATCTAATCATAATAATTTTTTTTCCTTTTGCAAAATACATCAAAATGTGTTCCTAATAAAACATGTCACATACAAAAAATTTTGATATAAATTTGATATCTTAATATCTTCTTTGGGGCACTGTTTTGGAGTGAACACATTATGTTTTACACAATGTGTAGATGTGATTGTTCTACAAGAATCTCAACTCCAGAAGATGTTCTTACAGGTGAAATAGTTTCACACATCAGTATTAGGGATCAGCTGAAACTGTGCTGAGCAGGCTATAAAGTATTATTGAATTGGCTTATCAATTAGCTCTTGATTAAACTGTGAGTCTTTCCTAGGCCTGCGTGACTTGCTACATGAGCCTTCGGCTGCCATGTAGAAGCAGAATTCCCTATGCCAGCATCACAGTTGAGGCCTCAATGGTCGGTGAAACTGTGGTGTCCTTGATAGCAAGATGACACTGCAGCTGAGGATTTATGACTCTTATGTAGCCATTCTCCCAGAACAAATGTTAGTTCTACCAACTCTTCTTCCTGGTTCTGTTGATTTGTTTCACAGCATCCAGTTACATTGGCCTTAGCCCTTCCTATACAATGCTCTGGACATCAGCATTCCAAATTAAACCTGGTGGCTTTATATCTAGGCTTAAAAGTGTTCTATGGCATCACAAAGAGAAGTGAAAATGCCTCATCTTGATTTTATCCCTCACTAAGCCACATCAGTCTCTCCAATTTTGTTTTGCACCACTCCCGACCCCACACTGCTGCTCACTCACTTCCATCTACTTGCCACTCTGAGACCAAACCTTGTTCACTGACTCCATGTCCTAGCCCATTATCCCTCTCTACACTTACACCTGAGAGCATGGGCTGTCTGCTTTTGTATTCAGAAAACTTAAGAAGACTAGCACCTTAAAACAGCAACAAAAATTTAATGAATGAACTGTTAATTTTCCAAAGTACTATTTTTCTTAAGGTAGCAAACAGAAATCCTCTATACACTCTAGTAAGAAAAATTAATACAAAAACCTTACTTCTCCTCTCCTGTTAGCACCTTTTCTAGGTCTCTTCGGGGTGTCTGGCCACCAGTGCTAGGAAAAGAGTAAAGTGAGATTACTGAGAACCTTTAGACCCTTTTAACTAAGCAAAGAACAAACCAGAATATCAGTTTGACCATAATTAGTTCCTTTATACTGGATCAGGGAAAATAACTTCTAGTCATTTAGAAGTACTGTTCATTTGCCTAACAGGTTTCATGCTGTGTGAGGCAACTCCGTATGTGACCATCCTCTTGGATGCAACTGTGTCCAGTATATTCACCCAAACAGAATAGTAACTTCATTTTCTCCCAGGATTTTGGAAATGGACTAGGAAAGTAATTTTGTGCAAGTGGCTGGATCAACACATTCCCCAGAACCATGAAAGAGGGCCCATAGGAACAAATTTACCCAGAAAGGTCTTGGTATGGGGGGAAGACCCTTACCATACACTACCATATTTAACTAAAAGGATATTATAAACTGCTTTCTTCTCAGACATAACAAATAAGAGGAAAGACAAAATTCTATCAGCTTGCAGATGATCCCAAGATCCTATGATCTCCTCTCCCCAACACAGGTAATGATATTACCCCACTTACTCATACCTGTCCTTCATACCTGCTCAGTCGTCGTCGTTGAGGCATTTGTTCTAGATCTCTCTGCTCCCTTTCTTCTCTTGTCATTCCTTTGTAGTTTGAGGTAAGACCAAATATAGGCCGAGACCACTCATCTGTAACAAGAAAAAAAAATCAATTACTTAGTCCACAAAACAGAATTTTCTCCTGCTAGGCTTTTAAATAATCACACCCTTGTACAGTGATGGTGAACCTTTTAGAGCTTTCAATGATACAAACAGCCTGCTACAGCACACATACTGTAGGTTTGCCACCATTGCTCTAGATCCTTAACATATGCTCTTCTTAATAATGCTATTATTTCAGGACCATTCACAGGATAAACACAGCATAATATCAGTATGGTAACAAACCCTAGATAACTCAGGAAAATAGTGAAAAAAGACCAATTCAATCAGTAATCACCAGAGATGTAAAGAAAGAAACATCTGACCTGCTTTGACAGTCATAAATGAGCTGGGATGATACTTCAAAAAAATCTAATTTTCTTTTTAAAAAGTATTTCTAAAAAGCAGCTTAATTTCTAGGCTTACTCTGCTGAAAACAGGAAATATTTAAATTCTTCTACTTTCTTATCCTAACCAAAAACAGCCTCCCTATCACTTGTCAAAATGGTCTAAATCTTTAAAAATTACATTTCTAAGCCAGGTGTGGTAGCATATACCTGTAATCCTAGCACTTGGGAGGCTGAGGCAGGAGGATTGTTATGAGTTTGAGGCCAGCTGGGGCTACACAGAATTCAAGGCCAGCCTCACTGCAAAGTGAGACCCTGTCTCAAAAAAGCAAACAAACAAATAAATAAAATAAATAATAAAAATTACATTTTAATAGTATGGTGTAGACTATATTTCCTTAATTCTAATACAGTTGCTCAGTAACCATGAAAAAAAGTACAACATGTATATTCTTCACTCACTAAAGGTCCAGAGGTGCTAAATGATGAGTCTGTCTGAAACATAATGTAGTTTACTGCTGCATTAATACACTATATAAACCAGAAAGCACGTTTACAGACAAAAAACAGACATAGTCACACTAAGAAAAGAGGTAGGGATTCTCAGGGGTCTACATTATATTCTAAAACTGTCCCACTGATTCCACCCCAGGATTCAGAATCACTATTGTAACTCAGGTATACTAGAAAGAATACTCTTTCTCTCAGTCTGGGGGGAGCTGAGAAACACTGCTTTAAAGCAATCCAAAGTTTATCATTCAATAGACAGTAAATTGCAGACCAAAGATGGTATTTTGGCTCTGGTTTATAAGAGAAATTTATATTTCTCTCAACATTTTCATAATCTTAAAAATTTAACAGTTTCCAAATACAGAAGCTTAAATATCTTTCCAATGTGAAGCATGGGAAGAGTTGAGCAAGATAATGAAAACAAATACAGATTTCATTCTTAAAACTGAAGGATTTCAGAAATAATACGGCACTTGAATAAATGTATTTCAGTTAGGCTCTGGATTTCTATGTTAAGATTTCACTATTAAGAACATGAGGGCCGGGGATTTAGCTCAGTGGTTTTGCCATGTGCTGCACAAGCGCAAGGACCTGAGTTCAATCCCTGGTACCATTAAAAAAAAAAAGAACATGAAAAAGGTTCTGGAGATCATTAAGAAGTAATAACTGCAGTGGTAGTAACTATAACAGGGCTAATATTTCTTGAGTACTTACTATGTGCTAGACATTGTGCTTTCTAAACTCTCACCTAATCTTTTTTTTTCAAGCAGAAGACGGCATACGAGATCCTGGTAGGTGACTGGAGTTCAGACGTGTGCTCTTCCGATCCAAGACTTATATAGATAACTCTAGGACATGTAATCTCCCTCCCTCATTTTTTTTTTTTTTTTTTTTTTTTAAGAGTAGGCAAATTTATTGAGAGAAAGATAGCTTCTGTCCAAGACAGACAGAAGGTGGACCGGAAAGTGGGTTGCCCCTCATCTAATCTTTATAATAACCCAAAGAAAACACATGTCAACTTTACAAAGGAGGAGACCAAGCATGGAGTGTAAATCATTAACTAAGGATATGCAGTAAGGGAGTAGTGGACCCATGCTGGAACCAGGTATGGCTAACTCCAGGGCCTGAATTCTACCCTCTCCATGTTTGTGATCCATGACTAGATAATACATGCTACAAATTCCCTATGATGAATGTGATCATTATGTATGGCAAATGTGTACCTAAAAAGGGTAATACATGCTTTTACTTGCTATATTTAACACTGGAGAGCATATTAAGTATGCTGAGAAGCATTTTAAGTGTAAAAAAAAGCTGGTATTTACAAGAAGCTACTAAAATGTTTCTATTCTACTTAACTGACTCATTTAAAATAAATATTGGTAAAAAATACAGTTAGCTTTTATATACATGTCTCTCTATACAGACAAAAACAACAAACAAAAAGCAAAATTTACATACTGATTAATTTCCCTGCCATGTCCTTGTTGGACCTTGATTCCTTGGGGTGTTTATAGAGATACATCACTGCTCGTCCAATCCCACTATGCTTCAGGGTCTCCTGGCTCACACTAGGTAGCTGGGGAACATAAACACATACACACAAATTAATCACTCAGAAGCTGGGAGCTTTGCTAATCTATGCTAAAGGACCTTTAAGACCTGGTTCATTCACATCAGAACAAATTTTAAAAGTTCATTTCCAAGATTTATAGATACTGAACACATAGATCCTTTGTGTTCACATCAGAAGTTGAGAGTTTAATATTATCATTAAGTTGAACTAAAACTGACCAATGTGAGAAAGTGTGAACCAAGCATACTTACAAGTAGCAGTTTAATACAGGAGTTGGCACAGGCCTCAGAAGTCAACACACCTAAGACTGAACCCAAGCACAGCCACCTGCCTGCTATCTGACCTTGGACAAGCCATTTAACTTCTGAGTCTTCATTTCCTCATCTGTAAAATGGAGACAATACGTCTACCTTACAGGTTTATTGTGAGGAATAGGTGAGGCAATACATACACAAAGCACCTGGCACAGTGCCTGGCACATAGATTCCTCAGGAATTCCTTGGCAAGTTAAGGAGCTGGCCCAAGGCATCAAAGTCATGCAAGGAAGCATAGCTCGAGTCCGTACAGGTTCACATGACTCTGAACTTAAATGTCCACTACTGGATTGTTCTTCACAGAGACACCATTGCTACTTCAAAATCTTTTGTTCAACACTACAGTTACAAGAAGTTTTATGGCCTCTTCCTTTTTATGTTCATTTTATTAGGTAGTTCCTTTTTCCAGTCCCTTTTTGGAAGGCTTTGGCAGAAAGAATTCATAAATACACAGTAAAATAGAGAGGTCAAGCAAATACAAGCCACATCAGATAATTAATGAAGCACAATCAGATTATCTGCTGCTAACCTCTTGCAGAATCTTCAACAGCTCCTCCCGAATCTTAAGCGCTGGCAAACTCCTATCTGGTAGAGGTGAGAGCCACTCTTTGATAGCAGACATCACACCACTGTCAATAAATGTTTCTTTAAGGTCCTGTCTGCAATAATAACAATAAAAAAGTCAGGTCTATGAACCTTAGTTCCACTGCCTCTCTGTCAGACTTTTCTTACATGTTTAGTGATATTTCAAAATATCACTTAAAAAACTATAATATACATTCAATATTACTGGGCCTCTATTCTGGTCTCAAAAGCAGAATAAAATTTTTTATTTTCTAGAAAAATATATACTTGACCAGCAAAGATGATTTGTTAAAAACAAAATCAGAATAAACTCTAATCACACAAGACAGATTAATGCTGATAGGAATGGTACATTGCTCACTCTATCAGAATAATAATTCTTAAAACAGTTTGAGGAGGCAGAGAAACCAGAATTGTGCTATTCTTTGCAGGACACAAGTTGGTAATTAAATTCCACTTTAAGCAACAGAATCGATTACATTTATAGAAAACCTAGCCACACAGTTCTGCCTGTTGGGACTGAAGCAGCAATTGTTAGTCACAGTTGTCTGAAGTCATGCTGGGGGCTCATTAATGTACTAATGCATTTCAGCCATCAAAAACAGGCTGTGACTTTATTCAAAGAGAAAGCAAAACTGCCAATGAACAAGAGAAAACCAATGAAAAAATTTCTTAACAAGGACCTAATAAGAAGGGCATCATTATTATAGAAAGATTAATGGTCATGATTTATAGGGACATACAAGTTTTGAATAATATATATTTCAAGTTGCCTTCCAAGATTTGTCTTGTTTTTAATCACACTGAGAAAACAGAAGCAATTTTACCAGACCCCAAACTGTCTATGAAGAATAAAATTAGTAGTTTTCAAGATTTCCTTTCATTAAGTCAGTTTTTTGTTTCTATCAGGCATCAAAGTTTAAGAAAAATTAATGAAATGTAATTTAGGAAATTTTATTTATTATTGTATTTCTGTGATCTGACAGATACTATCATTATTTAATACCCTAGAATACCAGTACATAGTTTGAATATTACACCATTAAATGAAAAACTTTTTCAAGAAAAGAAAATACTGGGCCAGGGGTTTAGCTCAGTGGCACCACGCCTGCCTCGCAACTACAAGGTCCTAAATTTGATCCCCAGTACCAGAAAAAAAAAAAAAAAGAAAGAAAGAAAGAAAAGAAAATACTTACTTCTTAAGATGCATAACCACAGTAGGCAATAAAGTTAATTTTTTCAGAGCTGGCTTTTTTTGATTGTTCAACTGTCTGTCTTCCTATTCAGAAAAAACAAAAAAGATTTTTAAAATATAGAACTAATTGTTACTAATGAATTATTACCACTGTAATTCTGAACCTTAGTGTAGCAGTTTCTCAAAGAAACTGCAACTTTTTGCCAGATGTGGTGGAACATGCTTGTAATCCTAGCACTCTGGGAGCAGAGGCATGAGGATTCCAAGATTAAGGCCCACCTGCACAACTAAGTAAGATCGTCTCAAAACAAGTCAAAAAACCAACACCACCAGCACTACCCACCACCACCACCAACGGGTGGGATACAGATCAGTATGAAGGCTCTGGGTTCAATCTTCAGTTCTGAAAAAAACTACAATTTTTCCTATGAGACAGGATAATTAAATATTAATATACAGACATTCTTCATTTAACAACCTACTTATGGCCCTGCATCTACGTCATTAAATGACTTGGTTGCTAAATGAGGAATCCTATATAGCATGTACATTAAAATATTCAGAACAATGAAATGGTCAAAGGAAACTCCAACTTGATGACTTTGCTTTTACTTGCATAACTCTTACATGCAGTACTGTAATGTGTAACAAAACATAAAACTGCAGTACTGTACAGTACAATCGGCAAAAATTACAGTACTATATAAACAAGGTGTATGGCACCAAAAAAATAAATGGATCCTAAGTCTGAACAGCGCACCTCAATTATAAGCCCAATTATAAGACATTAAACAGATAGGTTGTTATATGAGGAATGTCTGTATTATGAATATACATATTTTTTCTATCTGTGTTAGTCAAACCCATAAAATTATTACAGTAGTTACCTTCAAAAATTCTAAATCAAGAGGTACAATTTTAATTTCAAATACTGGCAGAATTATCAAGTTTTCAGTTCATTCAAAGGACAAATTATTATAGCTGGTAAGTTTTAGTTCATCTTCAAGAATTAATCTTCCACATATAAGACATGTATGCTATATTACCAAATAAGAGTTTTGGTAGTTACTTGGGTAATTTTTATATTTTAGTTATGAAAAATGTCAAATTCTATAAATATAGAATGTACCTGGTCCTGTACATTTAAACAAGTAATCACATAGGGCAGTCTTACTTTAGCTAGATCTTGACCTATTTTCCCCTCTGCTCTTGTTCTTAAACAGATCCCAGACATGGATCATTGAATCCATTAATACTTCAGCAAGTATGTCTAAAAGAACTGGTACTAGTTACTAATGAATTATAGCTATTGTAACTGGTTTTTAAAGTTAACACTTGGACAATTTTTACAATTTGGACAGATTTTTAATATGTAATGAATTAGATGTGATCTCTTGATAACAGGCAAGAGAATGACACAATTGTATCTTTAAAATTTATTTCAGATGATTTAGCCAACTTCTATCATCACTTTTTGCTCCTCCCCCTACAAAAGAAAAGCTCTTTTCTGCCTGCTGAGATGCTTGCAGATCTCATAGATAGGGCTTTCCCCCTACTGTATTACTCTTTTCTTGAACAGTCATGTCTTATGTCAACCAGCATTTCATCTAGAACAATGTCTAGAAACCGAATGAGGACAATAACAATTATGGCAGCACAACTCCCCTTCCACTTAACCCCAACTACATATGCATAGGAATCCTCCTTTCCAATGAGTTTGGAAAAGTGGGGAAGCATATAAAAAGCACTGAGCTGAGGGATAGGTTGTGGATATATGTCCTCACTTCCCAAACATTTAGAAATTCAGGGTAATCAGGTCCACCCTGGGGAAAATGAAAGAACCAGGAACCACACACCATAGTTCCTCCTGATATAAACCCACATGTTGAGTGGGGAGTCTCCTCCTGACTCTCCTGCAGCCAACCTATGCAGTTCAAGGAGATAGGAGCTATGGAGGTAGCCCAAAAATACTGCAACTGGGCCCAAGTCACTGCACAGGAGACAGGACAGGACAATGGCATGGTGCCCACCACCCCAGCCCCACACTACATGGGATGGAGGGCAGAGCAGTGTATCAGTGATGGACTTGCACTGCAGACCCTGGGAGGTTGGGTCCCTCCAAAGTCAGATCCTGATGGTTTCAACCAATCCCTCTCTCAGCCTTGGGATGCTAGTCTCCCCTCAGCAGTTCACCATTTCCAGATTCCAGGTTTTTCATGTCCAACACATGCAACCTGTGGCCAGAGTGATGGAGGCTTGGCCACCTGGGGCTGCTTTCAGCAGCATACAGGGTTGCCAGTATGGTGGTGCCACAGTGAAGACTCTCAGGGCTATGGAGCATCACCTCCTCCCTAATGACACAATCTTATGACCCTTTTTATATATAAAGATTTGTCGAACTTGGTGGTGGAATAGTCAAACCTGAGAACAAGTTAAACCAGCAAAGCCATTCATCCAAAAAAGTTTGTTTCACTTAATACTTGGTCTTTTCATTTTTTTCCCTAAACATAACTAAAATATTTAAATTATTTCCAAGTTTAAAATTTAGAATATTAAAACATCATAAAAAATTATTAGCACTGAATCTAATAAGGGATTCCTTTGAAATGTCCTCTGAAAATGTTCATGGGACAGATGCAGTTTAGAATCTGCCTCATTCTGAACCCGATTTCACAGGTTTTTCTATGAGCTAAAATTTACATCAGCTATGACAGAATCTAACGCTACTGAGATACTTTAGTTCAACAAATCAATTGTCATTTATTGTTTTAATGTTCTTGCTATTTTAACCTGTTTTCTTTGTTAGGGACTTGAGAAAAGAAAGAAAATAGCTTGGGTAGGAATGATGAGACAGGCAGAGATGTAATGAATCAGTTTGTTTGGGAAGCTGATCCAACTCTCTCATCTTTCTGTATTAAGCCTGTTCTCAAATGAAAATGACTGTTTTCTCATGAGTTCCTCTGAGTTTTGTTAATGTCTGCATTGCTGGATTTATGGTCAAATGTAACATATAGATGAAATGTGAACTTTCAGAGTTTTCACACTGTCCTGAACTTCTCTTTATAAACTTTAGTCCCTGACTGATTGTGCTAAATCTGTTGTAAGAATGTTTAATTGCAGACTCCACTAATTATTCAGTACTGCAGCAGCAAAGTATTATTTGTAAGAATTTGGTTATTTTTATACTTATACCGACTATAAATCTGCTCCTCTAGTCAGTAAAATGATGCAATAAAACGCCATTTTCAAAAAAATTCAGAGGTCTGGGGATTTAGCTCAGTGGTGCCGCCGCCTGCCTTGCAAGCACAAGGTCCCCAGTTCGATCCCTGGTACCAAAAAAAAAAAAAATTCTTTAACATTTACTGCTCTGAATTTTTTTTTTTTTTGGTACCAGGGATCGAACTGGGGACCTTGTGCTTGCAAGGCAGGCGGCGGCACCACTGAGCTAAATCCCCGGCCCTCAAAAAGTAAATTATTTTTAACCTAGTTTAAGGATTAAGCATTTAAAAAAACACCACCCAACCATTACTAAGGGAGAAAGAAGTGAATCTGGAAGAGAATCCTCTCACCTCGGCAGCTTCATTCATCTTGACAATCATGGCGCTAACGACATCATCAGCATCACTAATAAAGGTGCCACCATCACGATTACGTCTACGCTTGCCACTCATGCTTTTTTTCCGCTGCAACATCATCTCAAAATCCGACAGGAAGTCCATACTAAGCAGTAACATAAAATTAAGTGACATCCAAGTTCTTTTAATCACACATTTATCACAAGAAAACTAAATTCCTTAACTCTAACTCAACGGGATGCTGCTTTTTAAAAGTGCAAGTTCTTATAACCTGTTATTAAAACAGCTTACTGCAGCCCTTATATCCACCTTCTGTTCTACCCCATGGGCTATACATTAATCACCAACAGCCTTAACCACCTCACACTTGCATCTATCAGCTTTGAGAAGAAACATTTCAAGTTTTCATTCAGCTGTAGATGCATTGCCTTTTTTTGGAATAGGTGTTCAAGTAATTATTTGTATGTTTCTATCTTTTTTTTTTTTTGGTACTGGGGATTGAACTCGGGACCTTGCGCTTGCAAGGCAGGCTGCAGAACCACTGAGCTAAACCCCTGGCCCTGTATGTTTCTATCTTATACTGCTTAAGCAGAAAAAAAAAACAACTATTGCTTTTTCATGATAAGAGAACAACTCACAACAATGACACTGAGATAAAAGATGAAAATTTATATAGGCTTATTAAGAATCTCAGACATTTATAGCTTTTAAGTCACACTTAAAAGAGGAAGTTGGGGCAGGGGATTTAGCTCAGTGATTCCAGCACCTGCCTTGAAAGCACAAGGTCCTGAGTTCGATTTCCGGTACCAAAAAAAAAAAAGAAGTTGACTCACTCTCTGACACTATTTGTATAAATTTAAATTTCTAAGTACTGTACTGCCAAACTCAGCTTAATTCTAGAATATGTGAGTACAATACGATCACATACTCAGTTGTTAAGACTTCAGAATTATTTCCTTCCCCCTCAAAATCAGCTTTCTCTAAAACAAACATATTTTTAAAGTTTTTTTTTTTGGAAGAGTTGCTTGGTGAGACATAAATTAAGAGTCTGATGTCATATAAAAGTAACATCACAAATTAGGACATCTAAGCACAGGCAAATAATAAATAATTCACTGACAACAGCATATACACTGAAGATAGAGAAAAATGGAACAGATGTTTTCCTAAATTTAGAAATCAAAATGAAACCATAAAGTTTAAGTTTCTACCTTCATTTATTTAGCTTCCTTTAAACAAATTCCTTAAAAAACAAATATCAAAACTTACTGCTTGCCTCTCTTGATGTTATCATCAGAATCTGAATCTTCTACTTCTTTCACCTGTGTTTCACCTTTTTCTTCTTCCAAATCTTCTTGATTAAAACCCTAAAGACAGAGTTAGTTATTACATCCCCCTTACAGATTTTTCTTCTGTAAACTACTCTTAATTTTTTGCAATGTATCCACAAAGAACAAAAATAGGTATCAAAAAGGATGTAGCAAAAACTCCCTCCCTAGCCATTAGTGTTACTAGTTTTCTTATTTCCTTCCAAAAACAGTCTTTTTATATAAGTATTTCTGCCTATATATTTAGTATCTTTTAGTATATGAATAGATTATTCACAGAGGGTATGAGACATTGCTCTGCACTTCCCAAAATTAACAAGAAAATGTACACACCAATCCATATCAGCATGAAGTATCCTCATTCTTTTTAAGGCTTTGGGTTATTTCACCAGATAGGGCTGTGACAATAATTTGCTTAACACATTTGCCTGCCATTGTTATGCGTATCTGAAATTCTTAGACATATTTGCCACACTGTCTTCCACAGATGTTATGCCAATTATCCATCCTTCCAGCAAAATGTCAGCGTATGCTTCCCTAATCTCCTCATACAGCAGGTTATCAAACACTGATATCCACCAATCTCTGGACCAAAACACAAAAAGCTTTTCAGTATGGTTTTATTTTCATTCTCTTATTATGACTGAATTGGGACTTTTTTCATGTTTAAGAAGCCATTTGTAATCCTTTCTCTGTAGGGGACCGCAATATTGATTATGTCCAAAGCAGGCTGTAAGCAGTACAGGCTATAAAGAGTTAACCCCTCAATTGGCTTATTTTGAAAAGTGAGTCTGGCTGAGGCCAAAGTGCCAAGGTCAAAGTAACTCACACCCAAATTCTGTTCCAATTAAAATCTTCTTGATTAGGACAAGGATTTAATTATAACCATATTTTATCTATTCTGTTCCTAATTTAAGAGTGCTTTGTCCTTTTCCTTTACAAACCTTGCCTGCATTAGTTTCCACAGAAACTGCATGACTGCATGTCCTCGCACATAGTTTGCCTTTACCTCAACTGATCACCAATAAAAATGAGTGGCTTGGTCTGACCAGTGCTTTTGGTGATTAAGCAGCATCAGCCATCTTGGCTCCCTGGTATCTCTGTCTCTTTAGTTCTGTCTTTTTAGTTTTTTTTCTTAGCCTTGCGCCGTAGCACTGAGCAGATGAGAACCTACTGCAGAGGTCTCTGATATTTCTCTATGAATTCTACTTTCCATTTTTATGGAAATGAAATGGCCAGTCTTTTCAGTACAGCTTCTCATTTTTGTTAGAAGCTCTCATACTTCAAGATGCCTTAATGGTTCACCTTAGTATGTTCTTTTTCTCAGTAAACTAAACTACAGCAAGGTGACGTTAACTCTCTAAACTAGATAAATACATCTTACTGTTGTTCTGTAATGCTGTATGAGTGAACTACATTAGGGCAGTAGCTGATGTCTGTGGCATACAGTCTTTCAAAAATTGTTAAATGAATTATTTCTTAGTATTTTCCTTAGCTTTGTTACTTTTTTACTACTTTGAATTAAATTCCCAATTCATCTACTTTCACTTTTTTTTTTTGGTACCGGGGATTGAACTTGGGACCTTGCACTTTTGAGGCAGGCAGCAGAACCACTGAGCTAAATCCCTGGGCCCCATCTACTTTCACTTTTGCTTTCATAAACTAACTTGATTTCTCTTCTGACTCAAGAACTATTTTTTTTTTTTGTACTGGGGATGGAACTCAGGAATTTGCACTTGTGAGGCAGGTGGCAGAACCACTGAGCTAAATCCCCAACCATCAAGAACCATTTTAACAAGGCGTCAAAATTTCCTAGTGGCAAGATGTTTTATTAATTGTTATTTTTAATTTCATTGCACTGGATTCAGAAAATATTAACTGTACTTCCTACTTTTTGGAAAAACTTAGTTTAAAATATATGTGGAAATGCAAAGAACCAAGAAAAGCCAAAGAAATGCTGATTATTAACAAGGTTTGAGGACATGACCAATTATTCAGAACTAATAATGTGCTAAAAGTACAACGATAGAGACCAACAGAACTGAGAAGATGGTACAGAAACAGTATGGAAAATATGTAATTAACTTATGAGAGAGATGGAAACACTGAGTACTAGGAAAGAATGATCATTTTTTTTTGTTGGTACTGGGGATCAAACTCAGGACCTTGTACTTTCGAGGCAGGCACCAGAACCACTGAGCGAAAAATCCCCAGCCCAAGAATGATCATTTCAATAAACTGTGCTAGGTAAACCACATATTCCAAACTGGGTGTGTTTATATAATGATTTTAACTTCTACTTCAAATCAAAAACCAATTCTAGGTGGACTGTACAGATATGAAAAGTAAAAAATAACTTTCTAGAAGATAACCTGTTAGAAAATCTTCATGACCTTGGGGATAGGCCAAAATTTTATTCATCGAAAGGTTCCATTAAGAAACGGTGGGGCCAGGGATTTAGCTCAGCGGGTGCCTGCCTTGCAAGCACAAGGTTCTGAGTTTGATCCCCAGGTATCAAAAAAAAAAAGAAAGGGTGGTGGTACACGCCTATAATCCCAGCATTTGGGAGGCTAAAGCAGGAAGACTGTCACAAGTTTGAGGCCAGCCTGGACTACATAGTAAGTTCAAAGCCAGACTGAATTACATAGTGAGACTGTCTCAAAACAAACAAACAAACAAACAAACAAAAAACAGGGAGAGAGAAAAGGTGGGCTGGGAATGGGATGTAGCTCATCAAGAGTACTTGCCTAGTGCATACAAGGTCCTGAGTTCATCCCTAGTACCAAACTAATGGATGAAGTAGGCAAACAAATGGAAGATCTTGTTAAAGGGTCCATATCCAGATTATATACAGAAAAATTTCCTGTGGCTTTTTGGGCTGTTTGTTCTGTTAGTTACATTCCTCTTTGTTCATGGATTTGCCCATTTCTCTTTGCAGTTTTGTAGATATTTAGAGCCATATTATCAAGCTCACAGAAGTAATGTTTTCTGCCTTAAGTCCACCTCTCTGACTAAATGTAGCTATATTTTCTTTTTTTTTTGGTACTGGGGATGAACTCAGGACCCTGCGCCTGCGAGACAGGTGCGTTGCCACTGAGATAAATCCCCAGCCCGATTTTCTTTTGCTAAGTGTTGATTTGGAGCATCTTTTCTTACTTTTATTTTCAATATTCATGTCAGATGATTCTCTTGCAATGTATAATTGGTTTTAAAATCCTGTCTTGATCATCTTTGTCCTTTATTAGAGTTTTTTTTTTTTTTTGGTGTGGTACAAGGATCAAACTCAGGACCTTGTACTTGCAAGGCAGGCGTGGTGCCACTGAGCTAAATCCCCGGCCCTAACATTTAATATATTTACGTTTTATTAATATCTGATATTATCAAAGGTTAAGTCTGTATCATTACTACATGCTACTTTATAACTGCTCTCTACTCTACATTTCTTTCCTCTTTTCCTGCATCCTTTTGGATTGATTAGCTTTTTTTTTTTGTAGTACTGGGGATCAAACTTGGGACCTTGCGCTTGCAAGGCAGACGGCAGAACCAGAGCTAAATCCCCGGCCCCTGATTAGCTTATATTATTCCATTATTTCTCCCAAAGTCTACTAGTGTACATTTCCATTCATTTGCAAAGACCTACAAACTCTGCAATTCCATATATATTCTCAGCTTGTTACTGCTGTCACATTTTAATTCTATATTTTAAAATGCACCAGACATAAATTTGTTTTCTTCAGTCAATGTTGAGACTAAGCCACATACTTTTTCATTTTCATTTTTCTTCCTTTTTACATCTCCCACCTTCTACTTGAGATCATTTTCTTCCTGTTAATTTCTTTAGGTTCTTCCTTTAGTTAATATATTGTTAATTCATTCCCTCTTTTATTTCACACTTATTCCTAAGAAGCACTTCTGCTGGATATAACAGATTTTTTAACTTCACAGCTATTGGATTCTACTGTTTCTGCTGAAAAGTTGGCTATTAGTCTAGTTGCTGCTTCCATGCATGCAGGCATGCACTCATTCATTCATTTACTCTATAGGGGACTGAAGCCAAGTAGGCTCTACCAGTACACAGGCTACAACCCCATCCTAGACTAGACTAGAGGATTCCGCTACCCTACCCAGCTGGTTGTTGCTTTCCTTAATGTTTTAATTCTTTTTTACTGTTATTGCTTTTAAGACTTTCTCATTTTCTTTGATCTACTCAAGTTTTACTGTAATGTTCTCAGGTATAGATTTCTTTTTACTGTATTTACCCTGCATGCAATTTGTAGGACTTTCATAGTATATAGTTTTTTGTATTATTTCTGTAAACACTGCTTCAATTATATGTTTTTCCTTCTCTACTGGTACTCCAATTGGTTATGTTAAACTTTATCAAGAACTATGTCTTTTGTTTTTTTACATTTCCAATAATATATCTCAATTCTTCATTGTAGATATTTCCTTGTAACTTATCTTACAGTTTACCAACTCTCTTTTGAAATATGTTTCTTGTTAAACTCATTTGTTGAATTTTTAATTTTAGCTATTACATATTGTAGTTCTGAAACTTCTACTTGTTTCTTGTTTTTATATTTTTGGTTTTGGTTTTTGAGACAGGGTCTCACTATGGAGTTCAGGTTGGCCTTGAATTCACTGTGTAGCCCACGGTGGCCTTGAACTCTCTGCAATCCTCCTGCCTCAGTCTCCAGAGTGCTGGGATTACAGGCATGTGCCACCATGCCTGGCTTTTACTTGGGTCTTTCCTAGATCTGTCTTGTCCTTCTAAGTATGCTTTGCTCTGATGAAATTTTTCTTTTTTTTCTCCTTGAACATATTTTTAAGGTTGTGTCTGAAATTCCTGTATTAAAAGCCCCTGGGTCTATTTTTTTTTTTTGATACCGGGAATCAAACTCCAGTCCTTGCGCTTTCGAGGCAGGCGGCGGAACCACTGAGCTAAATCCCCAGCCCAACCCTGGGTCTATTTTTATTGTCTTCAGTTACTATTGTTTCCTTTTATCTTTCACTGAATACTGTATTGTATATATGAAAAACCTGAATCATTAAAATCTGATTTCTGAGCTAAGATTTACTAGCCTTCTAGATGACTCAAGTTGACCTAAAACTCAAGCAAAGGCTATTTTTCTTCAGTTCACTCTTAATCCTTTGGTGCTGCTCTTGGAGTCCCAATCTACAGCATGGGGTTTTCAGGGTCTTCTAACCTCCCCAGGCCTGGAACTTTAAATTTTGTTCTTTTTTTTTTTTTTTTTTAATTTATTGGTACATTTTAGGTATACAATACATTTACATTTATCAATGGGTGCTTGTACCTGAACATATATTAGTTATTTTTTCCCCCATTACCTATGCGCCCTTCACCCTCTCCACCCTTCCCTATTTACATATACTTTGTTTCCATTTTTTTTTTTCTTCCTCATAATTTTTCATTTCCCTTCTTCTCTTTCCCCTTCCACTCCCACTGGCCCTACACCTTTGGATCTTTTCCTATTTCAAATTATGAATTATTCATTTTAATCATTTTCATCCTTATTTACACTTTCAGTTTCTCACACTAGAGAAACTTTTCAGTATTTACACGTGTGTCCTATTTATTTTACTTAAGAGTATGGCCTCAATATGCATTCATTTAGCTATAAATGTCTCTAGTTTTTCATTCTTTATGGCTGAGTAATACTCCATTTATAAAAAAAACCACATCTTCTTTATCCAGTTTCCAGTTGATGGGCACTTGGGCTGTTTCCAAGCTTTAGCTATTACAAAAGAAAGAAAAGTAAAAATTTGAAGAGTAGAAAAAAGTAAACACTAAGAATTAAAAATAAGAGGAAAAGAAAATTTTTTTTCCTTTTTTGCAAATACCAAAAAATAAAAATGATGGGCCTCCTTCAGGGTATGTCTCTGCTGTCACAGTAGGCAACATAGGCATCCATGTGCGTATACGAGTCAATGAGTCTCAGCAAGCCAGCAGCAGACCTGTGAGATTCAGGCAGATTTCTAGCTGCTAGTCCCAAGTTGAGCTCCCTGTCCTCCTGCAGGGTTGAACTCTGCAAAGTTCTACTGCAGGTTCCAGTTGCCCTTCCCCTGAAGATAATGCAGGTTTTGATGGGAGGTAATGGTCCCAGGTGATGATCCCTCCAACTTACCAAGTACGGTGGTATGGTGTGCCTTTATTATAGAGATTTTCTTTATTTTTCCGCTGAGCTTCAGTTTTCATCAAGGAGCCTGAGAAGCCCTCTTTCTGTTACTAACTTCTGCTCTATCTTGTGGTGCTCAGGACAAGGGCCTTTATAATCCCCTGTGCCTCTGTAGTGTGGGACCAGGTAGCAGAAGAGCCGGAAGGCCAGAGGCGGGGTGGGGGTGGGGGTGGAAATGGGCCTTGGAGGCATCCACGGGGCTAAGCTGAGTGCCGGATGGGAACGGAGCTCCAAGCCTCGCCTAGGACCTCACCGTGGTGTGGGCAGGGCCCGGGATGGGAGCTGGGGAGCTTCACACTGCTTGTCTCACCAGCTTGTGCTGGCTAGTTGCGCTGAGCAGAGTGCCAGATCTAAATTTTGTTCTTAAGGCCTGGTTTGCAGTGGGGCAAACACTCCTGAAGAAAAAGCAGTCTCAACTGCTGTTACCTTTCCAGGTTTCTATCTGCTGCCTTAGTAATTCCTTGCTACTTTGTTCCTTAGATGATGATTTCCAAATGTTTTTCTAGTTGTCTGTTTAATCCAAAATACCTAAACTGCCAATGGCAAAAGGAGAAGCTCCACAACTACTGTGACTCTAATTTTTAGCATAGTGCCTGTCTCTCTTTTTTTGGTCCCGGGGATCGAACTCAGGACCTTATGCTTGCGAGGCAGGCAGCAGAACCACTGAGCTAAATCTCAGGCCCAGCCTTTGCCTCTTAAAGTATTCCTTCACCCCACTATCTCAATTGGTACTTTCATGTCTTTTCATTTCATTTTGTGTTTTACTATTTCACTTTCTGAATCATTTTCTTCTGGATTTTTCTCCTGAATACATCATAGTGATTTATTCCTACTTATTGTAATAGTGTAATAGATAACTACTACCATAAAATAGAAAAAAAAGCAGTTAAAGTATTTCCATCATACTTACTGTGAATTCTTCTTCTTCTTCATCACCAGATTCTCCAAATATGTCTGCAATAAGATTTCTAGAAAAGAAACAAATTATAAAAGCATTAATCTGCTTTTTCCCCATTTGCAGAGAAATCATTTTTTAATAGGGTATAATTTATACATAGTAAAATTTGCATATCTTAAAAGTGTCCAATTCAATGGGCTTTAAGAATTTATGCATTCATTTAACCCATACCCCTATCAACATGCAAAACAATCCCATCTCCCCAGAAAGTTCCCCATCCACCCTTCTAGTCAGTCCCCCTACATCAACATCCTGGGAGCAATCAGTACTCTGATTCCCATCATCACAAATTAGTTTCGGCTGTTCTTAAACTTTACATAAATAGAATCATATGTCTCTGTGCTCTCTGCTTTCTTCATTTACTATCTTATTTTTGGGATCCAACCATGTATATATAGTATGTGTACAGGTAGCTCAGGAACTAAAATCCTAATTTCCAAAGTCATGAAATTAGGCAGTATCTCATCATGAAATCTTTATGCAAGTTTAAAAATTTTGCAAGACAAACACTCCATACTACCTAATAACTAGAAAAGTTACATTATACTGTCACTTACTCTTCATCATTGCCCGACTCACTATCACTGCCAAACAGATCCTTCTCTTCATTTTTCTTATCAGACAATTCTTTCCCTCCTTCTTCGCTGTCTGATGCTACAGTCTTCTCTCTTTTGCTTGACTTGTCTGACACAACATCACTGTCAGAGTCATCAGCGTCAGAGGCAACACGACTCTTCTTTGCTGCTTTTGAGGAAGAAAATCATCATTAATCTTACTCTGTCATGGTCATTCTACTACTAAAAATAATGAAGCCGGGTGTGGTGGCACATGCCTGTAATTCTAGTACTCAGGAGGCTGAAGGAGGAGGATTGCCAGGAGTTTGAGGCCAGCCTGGGCTACACAGTGAGTTCAAGGTCAGCCTGAACTACATCACGAAAAGACTCTGTCTCAATAAATAAATAAATAAATAAATAAACAAACAAACAAACATAATGGGTGCTCTCAGGTGTCAGTATTGTGACACTGAAAAAAAAAGAAACAAAAAACAAAGGATCTCCTAACACATGGTTAAAAAGTGAAAATAAATAAAAAAGAAAGAGGGCCGGGGATTTAGCTCAGTGGTTTCGCCGCCTGTTGTGCAAGTGCAAGGACTCGAGTTCGATCCCCAGTACCAAAAAAAAAAAAAAAAGAAAGAAAGAACTAGCAGTAAGTGTAGCTCAGTGGTAGAGCTTGCTTAGTATGCCCAAGGTCCTGCATTCAACCCTCAGTACTGCAAAAACAAAAACAAAACCTCCCAAATACCTCACATTCAGAGTCATCTTACAAACTGTGTTATTTTGCTTAGGAAAAAAATGGTCAAAAGATGAAGAAAGAAATCATCATTATAAAGCTGGTATTAAAAATCACCTTTCCTTTTAAGGTCAGCAAGTAAGGATAGCAACTGGCATCGTTTTCACACTGGCTAGTATTACAACTAATAAGGCATGAGGATCGCCACGAGTTCGACATCAGCCTGGGCTACACAGTGAGTTCATGGCCAGACTGAACCACATAGTGAGACTCCAACTCAAAAAAACCAAAGAGGGGAAAAAGAGACTGGCTATTCCTTTCTAGGACTATTCATGTTTCTTAATTATTGCTTATCAGTTTAACATTTCTCATCCTTCTTGATAAACTGACAGTATGTGTGAGACTCTTTTAACCTTCTCCTCCTGTAACTGTCAAGTTATTATGGAATGTTTTTTTCCAAAGACGTCAAGTTTCACAAGAAAGTAATCAAGTAAAATTACTACCTGTGAAAATGGGGTCTCAGGTAGCCAAGGCTGGAATACCCTGTAGACAATCTCTTCCAAACCTCCCACTATCTGGGTACTCAATGGTGTTTAACAAACAAAGAGAAATACCCACGGAGCCTCAGTTACTATCTGGTGGGAACCTACTGAACCAGCCATTAGAGACCCACAGCCAACTCTTGAAACACTTGGGTTTTCGCGTGAACTCATTTCTCTGGAACATTCCCCTTTCTGGTAAAGACAATCTAAGTCTTACACTCAGTCTACCTTATCACTCTGACCAGCCAAAAGGTAACAGATGCTGCCAGAACATGTCAAAGGGTGTTTAAATAAGCTCAGGCAATGAGAACCAGGAATAGAGAGTATCAAGTGAAGAATATGGATCTAACATAACAGAAAAGGACATAGCTAAAAGCTTGGGCAATAAGGAAAGCTACCCAAAATAACCCTTACAGGCTCTTTCTTCATCTTCACTATCAGAAAGCACAGCGGCTTTCCGCTTTGCTACTCTTTCTTCCTCGTCTTCTTTTTCTTCATCTTCATCACTGTCCATTTTCTGCCTTTTGGGCACTTCGTCCTCGCTGTCAGAACTGTGAAACTTTTTTCTGGCTGTATGGCTATCTGAGTAGGAGTCATTCTGAACCTCTGCATCCGCTCCCTTATTCTCCCCGTCACTGTCATCATCTGACTGTGGCTTCTGTTTGAGGGGGGCAGCGTCCTCAGCTTCAGAGTCACTAGCCGGTCCCTTCTGAGGCTCCTCATTCTCAGAGTCGCTGACTTGTGGTTTGGGGAGCTCCTCATTTTCTGAGTCACTGGCCTGGTGCCTTGGGGGTTCCTCACTTTCCGAGTCACTAATTTGGGGCTTGGGGAGCTCCTCATTTTCTGAGTCACTGGCCTGGTGCCTTGGGGGGTCTTCACTTTCAGAGTCACTAACTCGGGGCTTGGGGAGCTCTTCATTTTCTGAGTCACTGGCCTGGTGTCTTGGAGGGTCCTCACTTTCTGAGTCACTTATCCGGGGTTTGGAGAGCTCCTCATTTTCTGAGTCACTGGCCTGGTGCCTCGGGGGTTCCTCACTTTCTGAGTCACTGACCCGAGGCTTAGGAAGCTCCTCACTTTCTGAATCACTCATTTGTGGTTTGGGGGCCTCCTCGTTTTCCGAGTCACTGGCCTGGTGCTGTGGCAGCTCCTCACTCTCAGAGTCAGTGCCTTGAGGTTTTAGAGCCTCAGTCTCAGAGTCACTGGTGGGACTCTTCTGGACCTCTTCTATCTCTGAGTCACTGGCAGCATGCTTTTGAACCTCTTCATTTTCAGAGTCGCTTGCATGTCCATTAAGCAGCTCCTCATTTTCAGAGTCACTCCCAGGTAATTTCTGGGTCTCCTCACTCTCTGAGTCACTCCCGTGCTGATTGGCATCCTCATTTTCAGAATCACTCACAGGAGGCTCTGCCCGCTCCTCAGACTCAGAGTCACTGTCCTTGGGCCTGTGAAGCTCCTCACTTTCAGAGTCACTAGCATTAAGATTTGAGGGCTCATCATTCTCAGAGTCTGTCATGTGATGTCTTTTGATGAGACCATCTTCTGGATCGCTACGTTCATTCTGAAAAAAAAGAACACCTTAGCACCACGCAAAACAAATTTGATAGTCAAATGTTTAAATTTTTCAACAATTCTTTAAATGTAGGAATATATACACTTAAATGTGTAATTCTTATCCCATACCTATAGAGAAACATCCCACTTTAGAGGCCAATCTGTGAAATGGCTTACTATACATAGTGTGAACATCTGAAAGAGGAAAGATAACTAAAACTAATCTGTACAGCATGAGGTTAATTCTGAAGAGCTAGATTTTTTAAAAAAGGAAAGAATGAATTCCTAACTTCCTCATATAATTCTAGTTCCCAAAATCCTATTTTTCAGATTAGTGTAACAAAGTTCTTTTACATATAAGCATTCTTGGGTTTTATTTTAGGGAAAAAGATCATAAAACTTAATTGTATTAAAAGGTCAAATAATACACATTCTCCAATGAGAATCTAAACAAGGAAAGGAGGAGTTACCATTTTCTAAGCATTTATTAGGAGCTCATAGTATTTTGTGCTCTCATGTACATTGTTTCCTCACAACATTACTTCATGTAAGAAAACAGGCTTTGCATAGTCACAGTTACACACCTTCTACCTCTGGAACAAAAGCTTAGTTTTAGGGAGAACATGATTAATCTAAACTAACACATAATGTAACCTGAAATAACTACTTTGAAAACATGCTCCAGGGCACAAACTTAACAAACACATGCTATATAAAAATACAGAAAAGATATACGAAACTAAACACATCAAAATACCAGTAACAAGTATTTTAGGATTTAGAAAATCTCTAGAATCTCTACAGAAACACAAAGTATTTCTGTGTTTGAATGTTCTGTCTTAAAAAACCTACTGAGCCAAATATTTCTTGAGAACATATGACTGAGGATACATGGACTTAGCACAGACTAATATTCAAGAATCAGAGTCTCTAATAACAAATATGCCCGTCATCACACTATGAACAGTTAAGTGATGAGAGAATTCAATGACAAGAAAAAATGGCACGAAGATATTTTCATAAAACTGATTCTTCAACTTCCTTGGGCTCATTTAAAGACTGAGTACGCTGTGTTTACAACTTTAAAGACCACATAAGCAAGCCTACAAAGCAAAGTTTGTTTTTATTACTGTGACAACACAGCATGCCAAAGAAACAATTGCTATATAAATTAACTGAAATATGAACTCACCAAAATCATAAAAATTTCAAAATTCCCAAGGGCATTTTCTTGACTTCTCACTCAGCATGGTACTAGACTCCCTGTCACATACCTACTATCCCAGTGAAAGTGGTATTTACCTATTAAGTGTGGCATCAGCATAGGAGGGAGAACACAGAATCTTGCCAGTATAGTGCAATACTCCATATACTCAAGGTTTACTTTAGCCATACTTCCTAACTTAAAAGAATGTAGATGAAAAATTTATCTAGAATGTAAGCTCTAAGAACACAGGTAGTATTGGGTTTATTTTCTTCACTAAGATATGCCTAGAGCATAGAATGGTTTCCAGCCACATATATTCACAATAAAGTACTTACTGAATGGATGATAATAAAAAAGTAGAAATAATATAAAGTAAGGAATAATTAATTCCATAAGCATGTGTAAGGTCTACTGTGTGCAAGGCACTAACAATCAAAGCTAAGTATGTTTCTCAGTGCCTGACCCTGAGGAGCTATTATCTAATGAGAAACCAGCCAAACATACCATAAACCCACTGATACAATAGTATACATACTATTATGAAAGTCTGTACACGGCATTTTGAAAACCTATAGGAAATGAGTGTATTTATGAAACCGAATTGTAAAAGGTGTGAAGACCACAGGTATTTCTCCACTTAGTTTGTGATGACTACATAGTTAATTAGGATGGAGAAGGAACCAGAAGAAGGCAAAATGGAAAGTGCAAACTGGCCTTTGGAAAGCTTTTCATGGCACACACCTCATATAACTTGTTTATGCGTGAGTCAACTTATTTTAGCTGCAAACGGTAACCATCATGGTTAGGTCCAGAAACAGGAATGATCTTCAGAACCAAAATGAGAAAAATGACTAATAGAAAGTAAGAATCTGGGCAGCTCAGAGAACTCAGAAAAGGGAACTCCAGATCTTTTCACTAGAATACTATCAATAACATGACTCAGCTCTAATCGTGCTACTTCACTGTCTAAAATCTAACTTTTAAATGTCTAGGGGAGGTGACCTAGTTGGCCAACACAGTTTCAGATGTAACTCAAAGGCCAAAGTAGAAGGCAGCACTGGGAGCCACTCCCAAAGCACAGAGATACCATCACTGGACAAGGGCCCTAGAACTTACAGACAACCCTCTATCCTGGATATCCTGACACACAATGTATGCACTGCAAAACAAACAGTACAAGGACATTACATATGAAAACAATTGTAAAACTTATGGATTTCCATCAACTTTAAAGGAGTTTCACAAGAGCCTGGGTATCATGTGGCAACACAGGGAGAAATCAGTGAGGCAAGAAAGTGCTAGTCAACAGACTCAAGCGAGAAGATAAATAGCCAATGACACAGAACTTGGGAAAAATACGTTATAAATTATACAGCTAATTCAAAGTTATAATATTCAAAAGTTTCAGGCCAGTTTTGGCAATTAAATTGTAAATTTGGAATACAAGTTTTTAGAAGTCAAATAATAAGCACAACATACAGTAGAAAGTGCAAGTGAAATGGTATTTTTTTAATAACACAAGAAACACTCTGGTTGGCACTGTCAGAAAAACAGAACATACTGAGGCTTTAGAAATGTCTATAACGCCTCACACCTCACTTTACACTGCAGTTGTAAAGTACTACTGGTTACCCATTGTAAGGAAAAATCTTGTTTAATTTAGCATACAACTCTTTTCCAGACCAAGGCCACAATACACAGAGAAATAACTGATATTCTTTTTTTGTCCCAGTACCAGGGATTAAACTCAGGACCTTACACTTATGAAGCAGGTGGGGCACCACTAAGCTACATCCCCAGCCCTCTAACTGACATTGTTAAACCAAAAAGCAAATATTAAAACTGTGGTAAACGTTAATTTGGACATTTCAAAGTAGTCTAAAAACTGTCAAACAAGATACTTGTTTTTCTTCACCCATCAGAAATGTCAAACTCAAAACAACTGAAATTGTATACAACCTTAACATTATAAATTAGTAAAACACTGAACAAACAGTAAGTTACACAGTAAATTCCATGAGGAAATAACTATAGGACAATTTTGAAAAACATGTTTCACCTGATCCTACATCCAGAAAATCTTAACATCCCTCTACTGGAATTTGTCAATGCAGGAAAGAAGCTGAGAGAGGCTGGGGATATATCTCCGTGGTAACACACTTGCCTAGCATGTGTGAGATGTTCGCAGCAACACAAAATAAATAAATACAAGTTTAAAAAAGAAAGAAAGAATCTGAGAAAACCAACAACAAAATAATACAATGTTGTTAATCCACTGTAGTACTTGGGCAGCTGCTCAAGAGAAACTCCATTTTTATTAGAACACACCTAAAATGAAGCTACACAGAGTGAAAAACACTCCTAATGAGTACTGGGAAGAAAGAGTCTATATAATGAATGCTTAAGATTTACAAAAAGTCAAATCTTGCCTACCTCTCCAGACTCATTTCTGCCAGCTCAGCAACATTAATAAAAGATACATCCAAAGTTCCCAGGAATCTCTTGAGGAGCTTTGGTGAAAGCTTCTCACCTCCAGATACCAATTTCATTAGATCTGGGGAATGAGTCAAAGAATTTTCATTTTGACAAGTGATCTACATGACTGACCACATTTAAAAAATCCTATTCCAGCAATCTGGAAGTACTGATTTCAGTTAGCTTCATCCATGCATTTACAAATGTTGTTCCATTTGCCTAGATGCTCTGATCTTTACCTTGTCCTTTTCATAACTTTAAACCTGGCAAAAATATTCCTCTCCTGAAGCCTCTTCCATCTGTCTAGGTGCAACAGAACGTGACAGTTAAGAACACAGATTTTAGAGTCAGAAAGGCCTGGGGTCCAAACTCAAGCTCTGCCACATTCTACTGTGTGATGGCTAGAAATTTTCTCAATTCCTCAAACCTCCATGGTCTCAATGTGATGGGTATCCCTGGCTCCTCACCCAAGTGGCAGTAAACAATGTGAAGAGGCCATTTTGGGTTGTCCATGACAGGGGTGGATGTGTTACTAGCATTTCATTTCATGCCTGAGGGACCAAAAATGCAAAATAATCTGTAATACAGGTATGTTCAAGCACCCACAGCTGCCCTGGAAGAATGTCTTGATTGGGAAGCAACATGACATGTCTTGATTGGGAGGCCAAGGATAGGACCTGGAGATCTGACCAATGCATACACAGACAGGAGGCCTCATGAGTTTAAAGAATTCACAAGGTCCAAAAGAGACTGTGGCAAGAGATAAGCAAAGGACACTGGTCCCTATGAGATCTGAGAAGGTGAATATGGTCAGGGAACAAGAGAGAAAAATGAAGCCAAATGAGGAGTTCTGGTATCACAGCATGTCAAGTTCTCTAGACCTGCTCCCCAGGAAAATAGTGACAGATCATTCAAAAGCAACGATTACTTAAGCCTCTAGAAATGGTCCTAAGGGGCAAAGAGAAAATGAAGAAATATCTATAAAATTTTGGCAAAAGAAACAAGAGCTAGTTTCTGGTATTCGAACCAAGATTACTGTCTCCTTCCAACCTCAAAGCTAGCTCAGCAAGGCAGAACCCCTTCTCCGGACTACTGCAGACAAAACACAGGGCTCCCCATCTCCACTACTCTGAGCCTGAGGTCGTTCTTCCTTGGGAGATCTGGACATTCTGCCTTCAGATGTCTAAGTCCTGGGCAAGTGGACTTCAGAGGTGGGTGCTCGCATCTTCAGCTCAGCCCTTACTTAATGAAAGGGGTCGCTACTGAGAACAGGTGCCTCACACAGAGAATACAAGGGTTCTTGTCACCCTTACCTCGGCTTGTGACCCATGTCAGGAGAACAGCTGGCATCTCATTCCCACCCAGCAACTTCTAGAGGTGGGATGTCGCTGAAGGAGAAACTAGCCATTATCTTAAGCCCAGGGTGAGAGATTTTGCTGGGAGAAAAAAGACCACAACCAGACAACTCCTAATCTCTCCTTAAATAATATGAGTTCACTGGCAACTAGATTGGGGAAGTTATGGAGGAAAACATTTTGGGAAGGATTCTAGACACAGATTAAACTGCAAGCCAGCTAGTTTGCAGGAAAGAACCAAGGACTGGGACAGCTAGGAGGAGCCATCCTGAGGTTAGAATACCTACCAAACACTGTTCTCAGATTATCATTCCTTCAAAGCAGCCAGAATTTGATGAGATTAATACACAGAGCAATTTGTGCCCAGGGCACTGTTATACACAACAGCAGAACTGAGGAGCAACAAGGAATTTAAACACAGGAAGCAGGGAATTTAATCTCAAAGAAAAAGAGACCTGACAGCCTAAAAGTTAACAATTTAAGAAATGCTGAATAAGTATTCAACCAAGCACAGATCTCAGATTGAAAGTATCTGAAGAAACAGTATCTTACCTGGGTATAGTCTACTATGTAATAGGCCCTAGAACAATTTTTTCTTGTTATTATTCCCCTGACAATACAGTGTCACAACTACTTACATCGAATTTTCATTGTAGTATAGGCATAAGCACCTAGAAGATAACTAAAATTCTACAGGAGAATGCCCATAGGTCATATGCAAATATTACGCCATTTTAATTATTTCTGTTTGGGGCTTTGAGGCCCTAACCCATTTAAGTGTGCACTCTACCACTGAGCTATAGCCTAGCCCTTATGCTACTTTATGTAAGGGGGTTAGAGTATCCTGACTTTTGATAACCCCTGGGCACAGGCAACAGAGTTTTGGAACCAAGCCCCAGGCTCACAGAGGAAGGAGTGTGATGCTGCATCCATATCGTGCAACCACTAAAATTACACTTAGTGAGATTCTTTAATGCCATGGAGAAATACTTAAGGCATAATCTTAAGTCTAGACATAAAATATACACAATAAAGTCTTGAGTAACTTAAAATACTTTACATGTAAAGTACTTTATATGCATGGGGAGAATTAAAACATAGAAGATATATCATTTGTTTAGGTCATTTTCATTCTATGACTCATGTATTTTTTTGTTCTGTTTTGTTTTGGTACTGGGGATCGAACTTGGGACCTTGCGTTTTCGAGGTGTGCGGCAGAACCAGAGCTAAATCCCCGGCCCTAAAACGTAGAAGAAATAAGTCAAAAGATTAACAGTCATTTCTGTGATAGGAGTATGTTGATTTTAACTTTCTTCTTTAAACTTTAATATAATTTCCATTTTTTCAACAATATGGACATTTATTTAGAATTCATTATTATTACAAAAAGCAGCTAAAGTTGAGCTACATTACATTTATGTATAACTGAGGCAAGAAACCACGAACTGATACTGATCAATCTAATATTGCTTCCAAGGTAGAAATATTACACACCAAATGTAATAATGTTTATATTATCAAATAATTCCTATAATTAATATATTGGAATCTAGCCTAAATATCTAAGAGCCTATAAACAGAGAAGTGACATCAAAATAACCACAGGATGAGCCATCGCTGCACTTGTGTTTAGCTCTCTGACCTTCTCGTCCCTTACAGACTCCACTCTAGCCGCGCTGACTCCTTGGTGCTTGCTCGGGTTTAAGTCTAAAACGCCCTCCTAAAGGTTCACAGGTTCAGGGACAGCGTTTCTGCAAGTTCAGGCCTGGATCCTGAGGGCTCTACCTCCATCATTGGGTTAATCCCTTGATGAGATCACAATTTAATGGCATAACTGACAGCTGACAGAAACCGGTGGGGGCCTACATGAAGGGAATGAAACCTGGTCCCAGGCCCCTTCTCCTCAGACTCTTTCCCTCTCTCCTTGGCTGCCACAAAGTGAGGGGCTTTCCTCCACTAAGATATGTCTACATCATCCCAGGCCTAAAAGCAATGGAGCTGGCATTGCTATGGACTGAAACTTCTGAAACTGTTAACCAAATCTTTAAGTTGTTTTTCTCAGAGACTTGGTCACAGTGATGAAAGACCAACTCATATTGAGCCCTTTAATACTTCAAGCACACTCCCACCCTGGGGCCCTTGACTCAAATGTTCTCCCCTACAGACACTTTCCACATGGCTATTTCCTGCTTCCCTTCCTGCCTTCGCTCCAATGCCAGATTCCAGATAGGCCTACAGAGACTTCCCTATTCAACAGTGAAGCCCCTTCATCCTGGCAGCTGACAACATTCTCACCCTTTTTTGCTTCTTAGCAGTACTGAGATTGAAGCCAGGGCCTCGAATATGCCAGATAGGTGGCTCTACCACTGAGATACAACCCAGGCGTCTAGTTTTCTTCTTTGTCCACAGCACTTGTCACCTTCTAACAAACTATACAACTTTTAAAAACATGTATAGTCTGCATGTCTTTCTCTACCCACTGCAAAATAAATCCAAGAGAAAGATTTTTACTTTTAGTCATTGATATGTTCAAGGCACCAAAAGAGCACCATGCATATTAAGTGCTCAAAAAGCACATGATAAATGTATTAATACCTAATAACACAAATGTATAAATATAAAAATGACATGACAGAATTCTATCTACTACTTAAAATTGCACAATTTTCTGTGTATGTGTAATCAAGCAAAATATAACACACATACAGTTCTTAGAAAATCTGTCCATCTTTATCATTCTTACTTGTTTCAGTTTGTGTCTACTAAAAAACTTATGTTGACTTACTGAAAAATGTCTCAATTTTATTTCGCTAACACTGTGTAGGAGAGGCTGTACATAACAGGGAGGTACATTACGTAGTTTCAAAAGTATTTATAGGGAGGCCGGGGATTTAGCTCAGTGGTGCTGCCGCTTGCCTTGCAAGTGCAAGGTCCTGAGTTCGATCCCCCGTACCACAAAAAAAAAAAAAAAAATTATAGGGGCCAGGGATTTAGCTCAGTGGTACCGCCACCTGCCTCGCAAGCACAAGGTCCTGAGTTCAATCCCCGGTACCAAAAAAAAAAATCATGTATTAGGCCAAATATATTAACATGTATAAGATCTATTTTGTATTATTAAACAAAAGCAACTCTTGAAACTACACTTGCTTTATTATATGCACTGTAACAGTTCAAAGAAGGCCAACTCTTGATATAAAGTTTGAGAGGTGATAACCTTGTAACTATTTTAACTTTTCTTCAGATTGCAAATGATCACTGCTCCAATGAGACATTATTTGGAATGGGGAACCCCAGTCAAATTTGAAAGGCCTAGGTTATTTTCAAAATAGATTATGTGTTGTTAAAAAGATGCCTAATACTTGAAATTCGACCCAATCGGAACTTATTTACCTGTGAATATATCAGTAACAAGAACATCCCATTTCTTTTAAGAGCAGTTTTCTATTACTATTTATTTCTACTTCCTTTACTATCAAAGATTAAAACCTAAACCCTGTGGTAGGGACTCTACAACCCCTAAATGAAAGACACCTTATAGAGACATAAGGGAAAAGCTTCCTCAAAGATGTTGCTTAGCCAATACCTCTGAATGCCGTTCTAAGCTTCCAGTGTCGGATCCGGAATGCTGCTCATTGATATCATCCTCACCGTCTGACCCTGAATCCCGTTCATCCTGTACTGGGGTAGCACCACCATCATCTGCTTCAAAAAAAACAAAAAAAACAAAAAAAAACAAAGGTGGATGACATCTACAGGTGAAATGAACACACTGAATCAAGAATATCAGAGCAGGGCTTGGGATTTAGCTCAGTGGTGCCACCACCTGCCTCGAAAGTGCAAGGTCCTGAGTTCGATCCCCGATACCAAAAAAAAAAAGCGTATCAGAGCAAAAGTTACCGCTGACAAAAGTATAAGTAATGATACTAATATTCTGAACAAAACAATATTCATACAAATTCCAACAATTACTAACACATAATGTGTCATAAGTGGTAGCAAAAATACTTGAGGAATTATGAACCTTTAGAAAATCACTAAAGTTGGATGTGGTGGCAAATGCCTGTAATCCCAGCACTCAGGAGGCTCGGATAGGAGGATTGACACAAGTTCAAGACCAGCCTGGGCTACATAATGAGTTCAGGGTCAGCCTGGACCACAGAGAAAGAACTTGTCTCAAAAAAATAAAGACTATCACTAAAAACCAAGTTAGTAACTTCTAAATAATAGTGTGTTGCTCAATTATTTCAATTTTTATGCTAAAAACGTCTTTCTACAGCACTTACCACCTTCTAATGCATTACATGATTTTTCAAATTATTTTATTTCAGGTGGGTCTTTCACTTTACTGTCCAATCCTTGGAGCCTAGAACACTGCCTGACACATGATACACTGTTTATGCATGAAGAGTGCAATAACTCCAGTCTGGAAAGTGAAAATTTATTTAAGTAAAGCATACACTATTACAAAATGAGCTGTAAATATGAATTGCTACCTCACTTTAACCAATGCTTTAAAAATATGAACTAAAAACTAGGATTTAGGGCTGTTTAAGGCTATAGGAAGATTTGGTGAGATATTTAACAAAAATATTTTACTTCAACTTTGTTACCTCTTAACCTATGAACTATATTACACATAATTATTTTTTTTAAAGTAATTTAAGGGGGCCGGAGATTTAGCTCAGTGGTTCTGTCGCCTGCCTCACAAGCACAAGGTCCCGAGTTCGATCCCCGGTACCAAAAAAATAAAAAATAAAAAGTAATTTAAGGGCCGGGGATTTAGCTCAGTGGTTCCGCTGCCTGCCTCGAAAGCTTAAGGTCCCGAGTTCGATCCTTGGTACCAAAAAAAGAAAAAAAAAATTTAAAAACACAAATGAATTGAAAAAACTTCTGAAAACATTACAAAAAGCTTTAAGCAAAACAGCAGTACACTACTGAAAGGCATTTGCGGTCATTTTTATTTGCTGTCATAATAAGGAATGGAGATGAACTCAAAGCAATAACATCTTAAAAAAAAAAAAAAGCAGTAACATGTTAAGGCTTAACCAACTACTTAAGCACTTTGATATAGAACACCCAAATGGAAGGATACGAAGGGAAAGCAAACAACCTATGTCTTCCCACTACGTCCTGTCCTGTGAGTCTTTGTGTTCTGGGTGCCTGGCACAGTGTTAGCAGAGTGGGCCCCAGTGTGTGTACCTGAATAAACAAGGAAGACCAAACGTAAGTGAGGAGGAAAAAGAAAGATCTCCAAGTGAAGGAAAAGCACAACAATCGCCAATAGCCTTACTCTAAAATATTTATGCAACTCAAACAAGGGTGATGAATGTTCTCGCTGGGGAGCCAGCACTGCAGAAGAAATTAAACTAGCCCTAAATCGAGTGAAAAGTCTAGGAAGGATCCCTGACCCCTAGTGAACATTTCTTTGGATTCTCGATAAACTCATCTCAAAAAACCCCTTCAACCAGAAAGACGTACCTTCCCTAGCAGTGTTCCACAGTACCGTAGTAGGTGCTTCATTTGTGGAAGTGGCTCCCCTATTTCAGCAAAACTTCGCCAGTTCCGAAGACCGCTTTCCCTCTAACTCCCTTCTCCAAAGTTCTACCCCGAGGCCGCGGCTGGTTGCTTGCTAGGTGCGTCCCGCTCCGCCCCGCTGTCCCCTTCGGGACAGGTCCAGGAGGAAGGGTCTGCGGATCTCTCCCTCCCCTCCCGCCGGGAACCGCTCTGCCCCCTGCCACGTCCCGGCCCCTGCCCACCTGACTGGTCGCCGCTGTAGTACTCAGAGTCCATTGCAGGCGGGCTCTCCGCGGGGAGTGTCCGCACTCCGCGCCGCCCCCGTCACCTCCTTTCAAGTGTTGTGACCTCCGATGGCGCGGCTCAGTGCTCCGAGGCTCCCACCTAATCGGAGAGTTCGGAGAAAAAGGAGAATAAAAAAAGAGCGGCTGCAGGGCTGAAAGCTTCGACCGGAAGCCGGCGCAGAAAGGGCCGTACCGAGAAGCCGGCAGGCGTGCGGGTCAAGGCTCTACTTCCGAGAAGCACCGCTGGGGCCAAAATGGCGTCTACTCACGGCCCTCAAAGGGATGCAGTGCGCAGGCGCTGTCGTGCGTCAAATCGGCCAATGAGAAGACGCGACAGTAACGAGGCAAGGCGCGGCCGAAATGGAGACTACTGGGAAAACTGAGCGGGAGTTCTGGTTTCGGGTAAGTAACTTCCTCTCCAGAAGCTTTGTCTGTTTTCCGTGGAAAGGATGTTACTTGCTTACGTCTGCGTCTACACTTTCATTGAGGAGTATTTGAGTTACTGTTCCGAAAAATGAAGACCTGTCAAAATTATACCTTACATCAGCCAAATAAACTATCATTCCCATCCTGCAGCTAGGCTCTTGATTCCCGCCCCAGGTTCGTGGAGGAAGTGGCGCGTCACGTGCTGGGACTTGTAGTTCAGAGCCTGCGGCGCTACGATGCATTAGTTTATAAGAACAAAGTATTGATTATTGAAGAAAAGGAAAAAGAGACAAATGAGTGAGAAGCGTTTACTTCTTTTATCATACATAATACTTTTGCCCCAAATGATATTTTCTGTTTGGTTCTATTTAATTTTGTTATTGTGATAGTTTATTTTAGCTGTCAACTTGACCAGGGTTTTGGTATTAGACAGAATTATACCACCATCTTCCCTACTTTAGATCTTCAGACTTAGACTGAGCCTTCTACTAGCATCTCAGTATCGCAAGCTGCAGATTTGTCAGCCTCCATAATCTTGTGATCCAATTCTGCTAGTAAATCCCCTGCCATCTATCTTGTCTGTCTGCCTGTCCATCCATCCATCCATCCATCCATCCATCCTACTATCCTACTGCTTTTCTCTTTGGACAACTCTAATAAAGTCATAGCATACCACGTTAACGCCTCAACTCACTAATAGTTTAGAGCCCACAGTTTTAAAACTTTAGAAGTGGCAGTCTTCAGTTACCCAAAATATGGAAGCCACCCATTGGCCAAGATGAGGATACATCTCCTAGCTCAGACAATGTAAGCAGCAGTACAGTAAATATGGATGTGTGCCCAGTCTAAGAAAAGCTCTATTTCTAGCCACACTTATGTATGTGTGTACATCTATATGGGTAGATAAGGATTCTTTGTTTTTGTTTTGTTTTAGTTTAGTTTAGTTTTGGTTGGTGGTGAGTTCTACATCACTAAGCATAGGAGCAGAGACCACACGTATGTTTTACAGGAATTATGATAGCCAGCTTTGCACTGTGGTACCAAAATACCTGAAAATATCAACTTAAAGGAAGTCAAATTTTATTTTGGTTTCATCCCATGATCAGCTGATTCTGTTGCTTTTAGGAGTGAGGTGCAGTAGAAATATCATGGCAGTAAAGCCAGACATGGTGGCATACACCTGTAATCCCAGCTCTCAAGAGGCTGAGGCAGGAGGATCGCCAAGATTTTGAGGCAGCCTGGGCTACATAATGAGTTCAAGGCCAGCCTGAACTGCATACTGAGACCCGGTATCCAAAACAAAACAACAACAACAACAACAACAAAAAGAAATATCATGGCACCAAGGCATGGCAGAGGAAAGCTGCTCACCTCATAGCAGCCCACAGAAAGAGACAGAGACAGAGAAGAGAGGAGAGAGAGAGGCAAATAGCCAGAGGGGATAGGCTGGGGACCCCAGTGACCCACTTCTTCCAATAAGGTCCTGCCTCCTAATAACCCATTCTACTGTGAACTCATCATGGATCTATTGATGAAGTCAGTACCTTCATGATCCAGTCACCTCTAGGCCCCACCTCTGAACACTGCTGCATTAAGGATTAAGCCCTCAATATTGTACATGAGTCTTTGGAGAAAATACTTCATATTTATTTATTTATTTTGATTTTTGGAGACACTATGTAATTCAGGCTGTCCTTGAACTCACTATATAGCCAAGGCTAGCCTCAAACTCACAGTGATCCTCCTGCCTCAGCTTTCCAAGTGCTGGGATTACAGGCACTTCATAGTAAACAATAGTATAGATTAAGCTTTGGGACCATGATTGAACCCTGTGTTCTTCCCAGCTTTTTTTTCTAAACTATTATTTATTGTGAATATATATATTCACAGAATTTACCATTTTAACTATTTTAAGTGTACAGTTACACATCATTTATTACATTCACAGTATTATGTAATCATCACCACTGTCTGTTTTCAAAAATTTCCATCAGTATAAACAGAAACTCTATATCCAGTAAGTAATACTCTCCTTTTCCTTTTTGCCATAGCCCTGAGTAACTTTTACTTTCTTTCTCAATGAATTTGCCTATTTTAGAGATTTCTCGTAAGTGGAAGCATGCAATATTTGTCCTTTTGTGACTGGCTTATTTCACTTAGCATATTTTCAAGGTTCTTCCACATCGTAGTAACTATCAAGGTTTCATTCATTTTTTTTTTTTTGTACTGAGGATCGAACTCAGGTCCTTGCACTTGTGAGGCAGTTGGCAGAACCACTGAGCTAAATCCCCGGCCCAAGGTTTCATTCATTTTTGTGAATAATATTCCATCAGATACATTCATTCATCTGTTTTTTTTTTAAGTTATATATTGGACACTCACAATGCGTTAGATGTAGTTCTGGGTATTGTGATTTTTATTGGTTTGTGGGTACCGGGAATTGAACTCGGGACCTTGCACTTGTAAGGCAGGCGCCGAAACCACTGAGTTAAATCCCCAGCCCTCATTCATCTGTTGATAGACAATTGGATAGTTTATGCCTTTTGACTACTGTGAATAATAGTGCTAAGACCAGTAGAATTTCAGGATATAAAAATTAATATATAAAAATCTGTTGTATTTCTATACAATAATAATAATGAGCAAACTGCTCAGAAAAGAATGATAACAACCCCATTTACAATAATGTCCAAAATAATACTATACTTAGGAAATTTAACCAAGGGGATGTGCACTGAAAACTACAAAACTGCTAAGAGAAATGAAAGAAGATATAGATTAAAAAAAAATACCTTGTGCTCATGGATTGCAACACTTAATATTATTAAGATGATCTACAGTTTCAATCACAAAGTGACCGATAGTTTAAATGCAATCTCTATCTAAATATCAATGGGCATCTTTTTACAGGAATAAAAAAACACATACTGAAATTTACATGTAAGTTCAAGGAGCTTCTGAATAGCTAAAACTGTCTTGAATAAGAACAATATTGGAGGGCTGGGTATTTAGCTCAGTGGCTCCACCGCCTGCCTCGAAAGCACAAGGTCTTGAGTTCAATCCCCAGTACCAAAAAAAAAGAGAACAATATTGGAGGACTCATACTTCCTGATTTCAAAGTTTACTAATGAAAAAAAAAAAGTGTGGTGTTTGTATAAGGATAGACATATAGACCAGTGGAATAGAATTAAAAGCCCTGAAATAAATCCCTACATATTTAATCCACTGATTTTTGACAAAGGTAGCAATACCATTTGATGAGGGAAAGAGCAGTTACATCAACAAATGATGCCAGGAAAACTGGATATCTACATGGAAAAGAATAAACTTGGACCCTTATCTTATACTATATACAAATATTAGCTAATAATGGATCAAAGACCTAAATTTAGGAGTTGAAACTATAAAACTCTAAGAAGATAACATAGATGTGTATCTGCATGACCTTGAAATTTGCAGTGGTTCCTTTTTTTTTTTTTAAACAGGGTCTTGCCATGTTGCCCTGGCTATGTGTAGCTGAGGCTGCCCTTGAACTCACAGCAATCCTCCTGCGTCAGCCTCCCCAGTGCTGGGATTACAGGCATGCACCACCATACTCAGGCCTCTAATGGTTTCTTAAACATGACACTGAAAGTGTGGGCAACAAAAGAAAAATAAATAAATAAATTGAAACTTATAGAAATAAAAACTTCTGCACATCAAAGAACAGCTATCAAGAAAGTAATGAAACAACTCCCAGAATGGGAGAGTAGTTATGTAAATTATATATCTGATAAGGGTTTAATATCTAGAATATATGAAGAGCTCCTAAATCTCAATAACAAGAAGATAACCCAATTAGGAAATGGGCAAAATAACTCAATAGACATTTCTCAAAGAAGATGAACAAATGGCTAATAAGCATATGAAAAGATGTTCATCTTCATTAGTCATTAGGGATGTACAAATCAAAACCACAATGGGATACCACTTCATATCAACTGCAATAGCCATAGTAAAATAATAGAAACTAACTGGATCTTCATACATTTGTTGGTGAAATGTTAAATGACTCAAACACTGTGAAACCAGTTTGGTGATTCCTCAAAAAGTTAAACAGTTATTCTGTGAACCAATGATTGGTAGTCCTGTGAACTCAAAGGAATTGTACATAGCAGCTCAAATGGATTCTTTGGGGGTTTTGTTTGTTGCTTTTTGTTTTTGAGATGGGGGGTCTCCTGATGCTGCCCATTAATTCCTGAGATCAAATGATTGTCCTACATTGGCCTCCCAGATGTCTGGGATTACAGATGTGAGCCACTGTGTCCAGGTAGATTCTTCAATACACTTTTTATTTTGGAGAAATTTTAGATTTACAGAAAATCTACTGAAATTTCAGGTTTCTGTATATTCCTCATCAAGTCACCTTCAACATTAACTTCTTACACTACCATTTTTCATTATATTACATTTGTCAAAGTTAAGAAACCAACATTGGTGTATACTAGTAGTATAACTCTAGATTAATTTAGATTTCAGCAGTTTTTTATTAGCATCTTTCTTCTGTCTCAGGATCCTTTCTAGGATAAAACATTGCATTTAATCATCACGTCTCCTTAGTCTTCTCTAGTCTACAAAAGTTTATCAAACTTCTTTTTTTTCATAATGACATCATAGGTGATGTTAAACTTGATCATTTGGTGTGTTGGTCTGCTAGTGCTATCACAAGAAATATCACACTCTGTTTACCTTCATGACAGAAATTTATTTCTTCACATTATTTCTGGAGACTAGAAGTCTAAGATCAATATGTGAGAAGGCTGGCTTCTTCTGAGGGCTCTCTCTGTGGTGTGTAGAGGGCCATCTTCTCCCTGTGTCCTCACTGGGTCTTCCCTCTGGTGTTTGTGTCCTAATCTCTTCTTATAAGATTGAATTAGGGCCCACTCTCCTAACCTCATTTGACCTTAACCACCTCTTTAGATGTCTTATCTCCAAATACACTCACATTCTGAGGCCCTGGAGGTGAGGGTTTTAATATATAAGTTGGGGAAAGGACACATTCATCCTATAACACTTCGTTAGTCACTTAATAATATCTTCTAGTTTTCAGCAAGATAAAGTTACTACCTTTCTCTTTCCAAACTTGATTCTTCGGAAATGAATCACTAAGCCAAGCCCACAAGAGATGTGGAATTGTCTGATTAAATTTTCCAGGATTCCCTGAGAAATTCTTCCCAGGAGCCCTGTTCATGTGAACTCCAAAGTGAGAAGACCTACTGTGTATCTCCCCGGTCTCCTTCTGCTACCCACAATGGTTTGAAGAGGAACAGGCTCAGCAAACAGTCTCTGGGGATATGACTGACTGACAGGTCAGAGAGGGAGTTCCACAGTAGGTAACGTTGAGGCCCTAAATGACCTTTTGGCTCCAACAGTCTATTTGAAGATGGTTTTGAGGGCTAGGTTTCACAGGAGCTTAATTATATGGGAAGATAATTAAGAAAAAATTTAGAAATAACAGTGGGGTTATAATCGGCTTTGAGAGATTATGCAGAAATAAAAATTATTCATACTACTTTTAAGAAGCAGAGAATTTTTGTGGACAGTTTGACACTTTCCACTGCACTGGATGGTAAATACATACCAGCACCAAGAGCAAATCCTTTCTTTTCCTGCCCTGCCCTGCCTACCCTGCCTTGCCCTCTTGGCTTCCAGCTGGCCTGCACCATGGGTGGCAGCTTCTCTGTTTCTGGTTCTCACATACTAGAGGGAATGAGATGGGCAATACTGGTTCCTGACTGCAAAGGGTCTGAGGTTACACTGGACCTACAAGCTGATAATCAGTTCCTGAAGTAACTGTGGTTAAGTTGACATAATTACTGGATGCTCATTTGTTACTCAAGTTTACGGGTTTGAATTCTGTCTCTGTTACTTACTAGGTGTATGACTTTGAGCAAGTTTTTTTAAACCTCTTTGTGCTTCCCTTCCTTATCCATAAGTTGGGAATAAAGTACCACTTGTCTCATGGAGTTGTTATAAGGATTATTGGCAATTACTATGTATAAACAATGATTCACAGGACATAAGATATATGTTAGCATTATTGTTATTTATTACTGTGAAGTCACAAAAGAATCTAACACATGATTCCTACATTAGTCTGTTTTTTGTTGCCATATTCCTAAGACTGAATACTTTATGAAGAAAAAGAGTTCTATTTAGCTCAGTTTTGGATGTTCAAGGGCATGGTGCTGGTGTCCACTGGGCACTGGCAAGCCTTGTGACGGATGGCATGATGAAGCAAGCATGAGAGATGACATAGTGAGACAGGAGGCCAGAGGGTGCGAGGTGGGGTCCTGCTGTTCTAAAACAGCCTCTCATGAGAACTAAGCAGGGTCCTGTGACAGTAACAACAAATTTTGGTGGCTTGTACAGTGACCTAACAACATCTCACTAGGCCCCACCTCTTAAGGATTCCACCTCTTCAACACCACCATCCTCACAGTTTGTAGAAGTTTCAGTTTCCACAGTTGGCTGGCTCCAAGGGAAAGATGGCAAACAAGCATCGCAGAGGAGAAACAAGTGCACACAGGTAGCAGAGGTAACAAAGGTCCTCAACAGAGTCTTTCTGTTCCTTATTCAGACTGATATAGGGGAAATAGATGTAACTCACACACCTACTAGATATCTGAAACTGGAGTTCTTGTTGTCTAAAATCGAAGAATGAATTCTAGGAAGAACAGAGGTTAAGAGTAGGAAAAATTTATTGAAAGAAAGATAGCTTCTGTCTAGAGAGACAGAAGGGGGACTGGAAAGTGGGTTCCCCCGACACCATGATTCTGAGACCAAGCCTCCAGCTCATTAACCCTTTGGGAGACAAACAACATTCAAGCCAGAGGATTTCCTGTTTTTAGGAAATTTACAATCTACCAGGAAAAAATACATGTTAAGAAGTGAATTATGTGATGTGGTTGATAAAAGCCATGGAAATTAGAAGGAGTGTGAGGCTAGAATCATCTGTAGAGTCAGGACTGACTTCCTGAGAAAGGCTGTTCGAGTGGTATTTAAAGAACAAGGCATGGTTGAATGGAAGAGGGATCCTGTTCTGTTACGGTTTGGCTCTGAGATGTTCCCCCAAAGGCTCTTGTATTGAAGGATTGGTCTCCAGTGCAGCAGTGTTCAAGGTGGTGTCTTTGGGAGGAGATTGGTTTATGAGGGCTCCGACCCAGTGAGTGGATTAATCCATTTACAGACTATAGTTTAAAGGACTTGGGTGGAAGGATTTTGTTATAGAAGCAAGTTCTCTCTTTCTGGATCCTGCCTCCCTTGGGTTGAGAAGCTTTCCTCTACCACACTTTCTGTTTCTGCCTTGCCACAGGTATAAAAGCAAACAGCCCAAGCAACCATGGACTGAACCCTCTGAATCCATAAGCCAAAATAAATCTTTCCTCATTTCATTTTAAGTTGATTTTCTTTTATTTTTCCTTTTTTTTTTTTTTTCTGATACCGGGGATTGAACTCAGGACTTTGCACTTGCCAGGCAGGTGTGGCACCACTGAGCTACATCCCCAGCCCTTAAATTGATATTCTCAAGTATTTTGTCACAGCAATGGAAACCTAACACATATTTTAATCACAATAGGCTAACTACCTGCCATATTATTACAAATACAACAACAAGTTTTGGTGGTTTGGCACACTTTCTTTCTTATCAATAGGCAGGAGCGTCAATGGAAGGGTGGAGGAAGCACTCTGCTCCCTGCAGTCAGTCAAGGGTCTAGCTCTTTCAGTTCCATGTCTCTACCATTCCCCTGGGGTTCAGAATCCACTACTGGGTGCTCTACAGGCCACCAGTAGGTGGGAAGAGAGAGTGCAGGATGACACAAAAGGTTTTAATGGCCTAGCCTGGATGTATAGTTGCTCTGTTTTGAATATGATTTGTCCCCTCTGAAACCCATGTTGACATTTTAATTGCCTTTGTGGTAGTATTGGCAGATGGGGCCTTTAAGAGATAATTAGGTTCAAAAAAAAAGAGAGAAATAATTAAGTTCATAAAAGGAATTGACACCTTCCCACCACAACAGGTTGTTATGAGGCAAGGCTATCCCCGTGGTCTGTCTCTTCTGCATGTGCTTGTCCACACTTTTGCCTTCCATCATGACATGAAGTCCTTGCCAGACATCACTGCTGTGCCCTTCAACTGCCCACTCCCCAGATCTGTGAGCCAAGATAAGCTTCTTTATTCTTTTTTCCTTAAATTTTTTTATTGGTACATTTTAGGTATACAATATGTTTACATTTATCATTGGGTGCTTATACCTGTACATGATGTATCTTGGTTCTTATTTTTTTCCCCATTACCTGTGTGCCCTTCACCCCCTTCACCCTTCCCTATTTACATAGACTTTGTTTCCTTTTTTTTCTTTTCTCATAATTTTTCCTTTCCCTTCTTTCCTTTCCCCTTCCCCTCCCACCACCCCTTCCCCTTTGGACCTTTTCTTCCAACTTCTTTCCTTTATAATTACCCAGTCTCAAGTATTCAGTTTTATCAACAGAAAACAGACCAAGAAGTGTATCACTTATCCTCATTCCATGGCTACTCCTAACTTTGAGTGAGGCTGGGAAGAATATTCCAGCTGTAGAAACAGGAGGCAAAGGAAATTGACCTTAGTGCACATGGAGCACTTCAGGCAGGGGAGTACTTCTTTTTCCAGAAATGAAGCCTTACCAATGAGCCTAAGCTCCTCACCTTCAACCGCTTCCAAGAGCTGGGTGACTGTTATCATCAGAATCATGAGCATCATTTAGCTAGTTTATTGAGTTGTCACGTGACCAAATTTCCCTCCCAGTACTCAGTCTCCTCAGGGCAATAAGATTAGTCACTAAGCTTTGTAAATAGGGAAGGGTGGAGAGCGTGAAGGGAGGTCTAGGAATGGGGAAAAAATAAGAACCAAGATGCATTACGTAAAGGTACAATTCCCAATGAGAAATGTAATTGTGTTGTATACCTACAATGTACCAATAAAAGAATTTAATACAAAAAAAAAATTCCCAGGGCACCAATAAACTGACTTTTTTTTCTGCCACACAAAAAAAAAAAGATTAGTCACTAAGATGCCATTGACCCTGGTTGTGAGGCAGAGAGCCCTTGTTTATGACCAGTGGCCTAAGTTGAAATTCCAGGGCCTAAGACAGAGCTATGCACTGGATTGCCCAGAGATCTCTGGAGAGGAGGAGAATATGACCCTTTTATTCTATGCCCCTCTTTTCCCTCTCCTGCTGCCTTGGACAAATCTGGATGGCTTCCTCAGAAGTTTCATGGCAATAAACACCATCAATGATGAGTCTTTTCCTGCTGGTCTGAAGTTGTGGATACTACCTGGCCCAGAAGGACTTTGGATCCCAGGTCTGCCTGGCATAGGAGCACCTATCTCTGCTGATCCAGGAGGGTGGAGTCATTTCTTGGTATGTTGGAACCAAGTTTCTCTAAGAAGCACAGGTCAAAACTCCCTCCCTCACGTCCTCCCTCTGCATATATCTTCCTGCCATTCAAGGGAAGCCAAGGGCAGGGTCACCTCTTCCAGGAGGGTATTTGTCCTGGCCCTTGCTGGCCTTCTCTTTTTCCCAGCCTTCATCCTTCATTGCAGCCAGGCCTATGATATATACGTAAGTTCCCACCTAAAAACAATCTTTTCCCCCCCAGTAGTGGTGATTTAACCCAGGGGGAGCTGAGCTACATCCCCAACCCTTTTTATTTTGCTAAGTTGCCTAAGATGATCTCAAATTGGCAATCCTGTTGCCTCAGCTTTCCAAATACCTGAGACTACTGGTGTGCACCACTGTTCTGGCCTTTGAGATGTCCTTGTTACCCAAGAGACATTTGGTATAATGATGCCTGGGGACATTTTGCTTTGTTGTCAATGGGTGGGGCACAGTAGTGTGTAGAGGCCAGGGATGCTGCTAAACATCCTGCTGTGCCCAAGACAGCTCCTCCTTTTAATTTATTTTTTATGAAAAAATAAAACAAAATTTCATAACCACATAAGAGAATAACAGTAGTTATTATCCTGTGTATCATCTTCAAAGCAGTTGAAGAGTGTGAGACATAAACCAAAAAGATTCTTACAAAAAAAGAAACAAAGATAACATAAATCTTTCTTTTCAATGAACTAAGATAAACTAGTAGTATAAATGAAACAAATTAGCATGTACTGAAATATTTTTTCTTTTATTTGGTGCCAGGAGTCAAACTCATGTCCTTGCGCTTGTGAGGCAGATGGTGGAAACACTAAGCTAAATCCCTGGCCCCTGAAATATTTTTAAAACAACAGAATATATAATTAGGGGAAGTATTTGAATGTCTCTCCACTTCCTATTTATATCTCTTTATTTTGCTCTTTATTTGTATATGTGTGTGTTTTTCATATAAGAGAAACCATGCAATATTTTTGATCAGGTCTTTTATTTTGGGTGGTCTGATTTTTTTAGCTAGTTCTAAGATAGCTCCTCCTATCCCAGCAAGGAAGAGCAACCCAATCCAGTATGTCAGCAGAGCCAATGTTGAGAAACCCTGAATTACCTCGGTAGAATGTGCTTCGTGAGCTACACTTTTGGACTGTGCATAATAGTGGTTCTAGGGAAGCATTTAGCTCTGCTTCTCTTCCCAGATAGTCCTCTGACCTTGCATCTCAGAGACCAAGGAAACAAGAAGGGTGATGCCCTTTAGATGCTGGGCCAGCAAGCAATTTGGGGAAACATCTTCTCTAAAAGTCTCTAAAATAGGATATTGCAAATAAAATTTTAAAAATAGGATGTTTCTTCCATCATTGGAAGAGAGAGAGGAGGGACCTAGGTTTGGTTGAAGGTCGGCATGATACAATGCAGTGCAATAAGTGCTGGACATGGAGTCAGGAAAGCCTCTGTTCTCATCTTATCTCTGCACTTTGGGCCATGTGCCCCACAATGTGTTTTTTTTAACCTTTTGGACTTTAACTTTCTTATTATGAATGAGATCAGCACCCTCACACATCAAGATTTGATGAGGATTGGAAGAGATGGCACATACAAAGAGGCCAACACAGAGAACACACTCATTAAATTCTGGCTCCTTTTGAAATGGAGAATTCTACAATGTTTTGAAGAGTGCCTCAGTCACAGAGATCTATGCTAACAGCCATGATATTTTATAGTATTAATGGTTAATGTGGCTGGTATAAGTTACATAGGAAGATGTACCATAGCACCACCAGGAAGCAAGTGACTGCACACAACTCTATGATGTGATGCTAGAGGCACAATGAACTGCTTGCTAACTCTGTCTGAGTTGCTGTGATGACACTACAGTGGGCTCTGTCATTAAATAGGAAAGTAATGAACCACAAGTTTTTCTATGGATGCCTTTTGGCTCAGCTCAAAAACATTTTTAGAGATTAGCAGCATATTTGCATCATGGGGAGAATTGTGAATGTAGTACTAGGCTGGGAGAAAGCCACCCTTGATTTCGAGGGTAGAGTTCCCTCAGTGATGGAAACCTGAGGCTCCAGGAGCACTGTCCCAACAGATGTCATGCTTTGCACCCAGCTGATCTTACAGCAGTCAGGCCAGGACCTTCCAATTGCATGGATTCTTTAGGTTGGGAAGGAGGACTTGCATGCTGCTTAAGAAAGATTAGCAGCAATATGTTCACGCCCTTGGTTTAATAAGATCCCTTCTGGATCTTTCTGTAAATGACAAAATATAAACAAAGCTATGAGCTCAGATTTGTTTGTTGCAGTGTCATGTAGGATAGCAAAGGACTGGATGGCTCTGAGTGTCCATCTAGGGAGGGTAGGTATACAAATGATGAAGCCCCTATATGACAGACTGTCACTTTGTCTTTAAAGTCTTGTGATCTAATGTTGGACGAGAGAGAGGAGTTTGTACATCTATAAAATGAATTGCTACCAAATATTGTTTAAGGCGGGCACTGGACAAGAATATCTTGGTTTTGGTTTACACAGGTGCCTGTTAGCTTGGTTTCTTCTTCTTTTTTTTTTCCCCCCGGTACCAGGGATCAAACTGAGGACCTTGTGCTTTCCAGGCAGGTGTGGCAGCACTGAGCTATATCCCTGGTCCCTCGGCTGTTTTCTGGTCTAAAGGCAGTGGAAGACGGCTGTGCAGGACCACCTGGAGTCCCAGAGTAAGGGCTTGCCATCTCTGGGTGCTTTATGGGAGAAACAGTCTAATCCTGTAGGCGTGAGATGGTGTTTTCCAAAACCAGCGGAACCATGAACAGCAAGCATGAAGCCCCAAAAGTGAAACTGGGGAGAAAGGGAATAAACCCTTTAACTCACTTCTCTTATTTTTATTTATTTGCTTTTATCATCAATGTTAGAGGTCCTGTAGCTGAACAACATACTATTAGACCCTCATCAGCTTTGCTATAGAAAACACCTCTGGCATGTGGGTCATGATAGTAAGAATGATTGCTTAAGCTGTTTTCCAGGAGCCCAGAGGCCACTTTTGTTGAGACCACCAACACTTCACTTAGGCCTGACCAAGTGTCCCATGAGTGACATCTTTGATGTTTGAGAGCCCAAAACTCCACCCTAAGATGATGCTAATACCACCATTTTCTGAACATGCATCCTATGAAGAGCCTTAAAGTTTAACTACATATTTGCAATAACCATGACTTCACTTTTCCCTTCCTCCAGTCAGCTTTTGCCACACTTTTTTATCCCATAAATACCCCAAAACCCCAACCTCTAGGAGGTAGATTTGGGATTTGCTCCCCTGTATCTTCCACTGGATGCCTTGTCAATAAACTCTCTTTCGCCAAACTTGTCATTGCGGTAACTGTGCAATGGGCAAAGTAGGGCTGGTTCAGTAACAAAACCAAGTGTGGGTTTAGTGGGGGAATGCAGGGCTGGCTGGAGAGCAGGGACTGAAAGGCTCAGAGCACACAACCTTCTCCAAACCATTCTGAAAGTCATCTCCCAACTCCCTGTCCTTGTCATGGGCTGTTTGACTGTAAGGTACAGAAATGCCTTTAAATCATTTCCACCAAAGAAACATTTGGTAGGAGCCTGGGATTCTGTGAGGCCTACCCCCAGAGGCACTCAGGAAAGGGGTCTTTGGCAGAAAGTCTCTGCCCCTCTCTGGGCTCTCTTGGTCTCTGCCTCTGAAGCTTGACAACTTTTCCCTTCTCTCCCTCAGCAGAGCTTGGTCTGTCCCCAGAAAAGGCCCTTGGTCCCTGTTGCTTCCCTGTCTTGGTCTCAACTCTATTCAAAAAGATGACAGTTCCTTCCCACATCTCTGCCTGCAGGGCTCAAGTTCATCGCAGGTCTTGTCAGAGAGAAGGAACTTGACTGGCTCTAATTGGGCCAATTGTGAGGACCGCAGAGTCCTCTCTTCACCAGGAAAGGGCTGTGGCTGGGCAGGCATCTCCGTTCACCCACCGTCAGCTTGCCTTCATAAGCAGACTTCTCTGGCCTGCACAATCATCAACTGCCTGCCCCTCAGTTTGACCCTACCCAGGTTACACTGTCTGATGCACTTCCTTCCAAAAGTATATATATTTCCTCAGAGCCCAAATTGCCCTGAATTCAAGTCCCAGGCCAAACCAGCCCTCTGTTCTCATGGATCCTCCTGGGAGTCTAGTTATTCCCGATTGCCCTGGCATCCTGTATATGTTTCCCTGACACGCAAAAGAAAAAACAAACTTTTTCCCCCTACTTTCCTAATCAACATAGAAATCTTCTGTGACCAGGTGTCCAAGCAATTTTCCAGGGGACTCCAACTAAGTGTCCTATAATTCAATTTGATTCTGACACTATCTACCTGGATTTAGAGCTAGATTTCAGGTTAAGGGTTCTCAATCCCCCCAAACTGACCCTACTTCAGACACTAATTGCAAGCTACAGATTGTCACTTTCTGACTGATGACGTGCTACAAATCAAGAGTTCCCACTACCCCTTCCTCCTTGGTTTTCATTAAGGACAGAGTCACAGAACTCAGGGAAATGCTTGTTTACCAGCTTATTATAAAGTATTCGGATGAATAGCCAGATAAAGAGATTTGTAGGCAAGGAAGGGGAAAGGGATGCAGGGCCTCCACACCCTCTCTGGGCGCTGCCCTTCAGGCACCTACTCTACTTCCGCTGTCTGGAAGCTAATCAAATCTTGTTCAAGATTTGAACGGGAAGTTAAGGAGGGCTAAAGGTTCTAACTCATCTGGCCTTTCTGGTGCCTGGCCCCTTCCTGAGGCCCCAACACAAGTCGCCTCATTAGCATAATCCCAGATGTTATCAGAGGCTCATTGTGGATTATGAATAACTAACAAAAAACCACTCCTCTCACTTAGGAAATCTAATTGTTTTAGGAGCTCTGTGAGATGAACCAAGGAGAAAGACTAAATATATTTCATGCCATGGTCCCCAGTTAGTACTCAAATACTTGGGAGCAGAGCTCCTGCCATCGGCTCC